TATATTATATATATTATATATATTATATATATTATAATATATATATATATATATATTTTATATATATTATATATATTATATATATTATATATATATTGACATATCATGACATTATTCCTTAATCTACTGACCCCAAATGAGTTTACCCTCAAAGAGTTGACAGTTTACATGGTTCATGTTGTGGCAGATCACGGAGGTTGTGAACGGTGAGCTATGTTCAGATTAAATGTGCAAATTGAATTCTTGAATGCTACCCGACATGGACTTATGAAACCACGGAAGGCACATAGCCGACACAAACCAAAGATATGGGCATGATATCTTGGCTCTAAGTAAGGTTCAATGCGTCTTTGATGATCCTTGATGACAATGCCACTTCCTTAGCTTTGCATAGCTTTGATGTTCTTCGCTTTGCATCATCTTAGCAAATGATGCTCTGTTCTTTGTACTGTACATCGGAATTGTTGTAGAACTGACTTACACTAGTTGAATCTCTACCAGGCCTTGACGGATCATTGCATTGGACAAATCTACATTGAGCGGGCAACTCAGCATGCTGGATGAGCCATGCTGTGCCATTCAGCGCACAGCAGATTCTCATTGAATGCAGGACCAACCTTGGCATTTTGGTCTTTGAAACTACACAGGGTGACTCTGTGCGTCACCCGAGGAACTTCAACTTACCCTGTTCATCCAATAGCGGAATCGTTTTGCTGACAACATGGGCTCAAAGTCGTTGAACAACAGATACGCCGGAGAGTAGTGCTGTTGGTGGCCTTTGCACATAAAGCTTGTGGTGCATCACCCGAAGGGGTTGGGTGACTATACCTGGATCGAACATCTAAAACATCGAAACATCTAATCAAATCAATCTAATTGGTTTTGAAGTGAAACATTTGCACAGTACTTGAGTTTTGATGCATTATCCACACTTGCCACACCTTGCATAGTTCCTTCCTTCACGTCGAACCAATGTCCTTCCATCAGCGCTCCGGCCGGCTGGCTTGCCACAGAGCCAAACATTTACCTGGAGATGTGCCAGCAATGAAGGGAAATCTCTCCAAGGATTCAGATTGGACCACGAAGATTCTTCCTATCGCTGGAGATGCTGGAGCCAGCTCCGAGGCTACGATGTTTGAATCTGATCCTGCAACTCCAGTGCATGTTTGGCCAGACACTGACGAAGAGTGGAATGACGAGTACTACCACCAACTGTGTAAGCCTCTCAATCCGTGGTGTGGTGATACACAAGCCAGCTTGCAAACAAAAGGACCTGCTCAAGATTGCCGTGCAGCTTCATCTTGCTTCTTGCACCTCGCAGTATCTTTGCCTTCTTTTTCCCCGCAAGGCACCGCTTGGCAAGTCAGTGAGATGCCACTGGTACAACTCTTTGGGAAAGAGTCGATCACACCAATGTCCCAATGCACGACTCTCGACTTCAGCACAACTCCATCAGTTGATTCTGAGTCTGATTGTGAATCTCTCACCAAGACGGAGAAACTGAAAAAGGAGGAAATGGCAAAGAGCAAGCAGATCTATCAACCCTTGGCAAAAGTCGAGCCAAAGCCTCCTGTTGAGTCGCCTTTGAAGCAAGCCATGAGAACAGGTGAATTGGCCCTGAAAAAGGCACGTGCTTTGGTGCCGGTGGACCTGGATGATCCAGACTCCACGATGCAGTCGAAACCATCGAAGCCATCGAAGCCATCGAAGAGAAGCGGCCGCCGCAACCGCAGCGACAGCGACGTTCTGCCCACTGGGCAGCTTCACCGTTGAGCTTCGTTGAGCTTCGTTGAGCTTCGTTGAGCTCACGGTTGAGCTCACGGTTGAGTTCCCTGAATTCAATCAGGACTCAGGTCACAGAGTCACAGGGTCATAGGGTTAATCACCTGGGTGCAGAAGGTGATGTTGCCAGCTGGAAAAAATGTGGGTTGTCAGGAGAGAACATGAGGTGAAAAAAACAGTGGAACTAAACGGAAACTCGAAAATATGACAATAAACAACTTGAAAGATCTTGAAAGCATGTTGCTCTTCTGTACCGCGATCTTTTCTTGCAATTGTGAAAGTTGCAAGCTGTATTGCATGCTGTCGTCGTTCCTTGAATTCGTTGCAGATACTGACAAAGGGGTTCACCCTTCCTTTTTTTATACCGCTGTTTTGACCGACTTCAAACTCTTTTCTACCTAGCTGGTTGAACCTTTTTGCACAAGTGGATCCTGTATCTTATAATTACAGCTGGAGGCGATTTTGCATTGACAGCACTGCACTATGCAGTGCTTTTTTCAATGCCGGCTTTAAAGGCCTTTGCCTTTCCCTCCAGGGATCCATCATTTGGCTCACCTGCATGGCATGACCCCCCACAAGGATGCCTAGGGTGAATGTTTCGAGGCTTGCAAGTGCACGTTTAATTGCGAGGATGTGGGGCCACAGCTAGGAAAACCCAGCGGTGGATTGAATTCACATGGTTGTGCGAAAGCAGTGTGGCGAGCAACTTTGTAGCTTCGAATTAGATTTTCTGTTGTTTGATTTGCAAGATACTTCTGACTTTCCATCTCTCTTCACTGCTTCAGGCACGCGCATTTGGCTCCAGGCAATCTATGTCTGGCAAAGCCTCCCAACGTGTGGGAGCTGGGTGAGGTTCGAAGGTCTTGATCTGTGCCCAACGAAAATTATTTTGTTGGCAACGAATCCTTTGTCAATTAGAATTATCAACCAGGGCAAAACACTCTTTGAATATCTTCGAATCCATCCGCATCCAGCCATATTTGCAGCCGCTTAATTTGCAGATTTCTGCACTTTGAATGCAAAGACCTGGTCTCCAATCAAGCTTTGGTGGCGAAACAGTCACAGGTGCAAAAATGGACTGATGGACCCGCTGCCGAGGGGCAAGGGATACCACAGCCACACAGCCAGGCTGTGCCAATGGCAGCTTCGCCAAAGATGCGCTCTCAGCTGCGACAGCTGCAACGAGACTCTAATTATGTACACAGCGTCGCTAGACATGCGCTGATTGCTCCGATTACTCCGACCTCCGGCTGTTTGGTCAAGGAGCCACCTTGAACCACCTGTGGGATACAGCTGCGTTTCTTAGAGTCTCAGGAACCATTTGAAGCACTGCGGTAAAAAGGTTGGGCAGCCTGGCAGGTGATGCATCATGACGTAAAACGAAACTTCGGGTTTCTCGAAAGAAACCTGACCTTGACAAGATGGCTGGAGGGCGCACGCACATGCTCTTTGATACTCATTGATACTCGTTGATATTTATTGATGATGTCATTGGTTGATGCCAGCACCTCTTCCCGCTTTCCCCAAGGACCGGCCGTTATAAATTGGCCCTCGAACGCTTCGAAAAGATCATGTGTTCCTGGCGGGCTTTCGATGCATTTGACTTTTTGTTTGGAACGGCCAAGATTGCTTTGAGAGTAGTTTTAATGAGCTACAGTTGGCCAATTTCTGCAGGAATGGTCGAATCAGCACTTCAAAATATCTTCAATATCGGCAATTTTTCTTTGACAGCCTTGGCCCCAAGTGGCAGCTTTCACCTGCCATCCGTCCTCACGTCAAGTGCTATGGTTGCCTGTTTTGCTGCCAGGCGAGGTCATGGTGTTGGCTTCTCAGCGCCTGAAGCTCAAACTGAGGTAAGACTGGTGAAGAGGATTCGTAAAGTTCAGGGAAGTTCTGCCTAGGGATTCTTTGTGCACTCGACCTCTGGCAGCTTCATATGGTTTGGACTGGATTTGTAGGGCGCATGGTTGTTGACTCTTTGGTAGAATGCTGCTTTTTTTTTTCCGTTGGAGTTCAAGGGAGACATTTCTCTCAAACTGAACCAGCATATACCAGCATTATGTCAGGTGTTTTTACCCAATGTGACTGGCCAATCATGGCCAGTGATGGCCAGCCTTGCCGGTTGAGGTTCAACCTATGGATGTTATATGTAGACTATGGCTTCACACTTGTAGCCCTTGGGCGCTTCGAAGAGGCATCGCCACTGGCCAATTTGTTTGGAGTTTGATAGCAATCCAGGTCTTGTGATAAAACATCCAAAGTCGGATCTTCTTGCCTGCGGGCTACATCCAAAGCATCCCAAACCGTTCTGGAATTTTGACTGGCTTCCTTGGTTAAGTTGTGGATCAGATGGTTTTTGCTTAACAGTGGGGAAAGCACGGAACATTGCTGCAAGGCCATTGAACCCTTGGAAAAAGGACTCTCCAGGAGCAGTGCGCTTTGCACTTTGTTGAAACCTGTTTGTATGGCCTTGGCATTTTTTTAGACGTAAAGTAAGAATCATCTATGTGATACTAGCACACAGGAACGCAGCGGTACCCCACGGCCAGAATGCTTTGGGTGAGTTCCTGAGATTTCTCACGCTGCCTTGCACTCATCCCATCTGGAAAGTTTTGCCAAACGTTCATTCAATTACACCAAGGCTGGTGAGTTCCCAGAAATTCACCATTAATTTGGACAACAGCTCATAGAAACATTCTTTTTAAATCTACTGTATTTTTATTCACCAGTTTGCTATCAGGATGTTTGCCCACTGGTGAAACCGAAGATGAGCCCAGGCTATGCCTATGCGAGCCTCAATCAACTGCAGCAGGCTCAAGATGTCTTTGCTAGAGGCTGGAAGGGAGATCTCCACGGTCCACGGCACCACCGGTTTCTGGACAGATTTGAAAGCTGCTAAGACCAGGGGGCACCAGATCTCCAATCTGATGGCAGGCTTGGAGTACGATCCGGACAATCCCGTGCTGTGGTCCAATCTGGCAGTGGCTTCTTGACAGCGCTTCAACGATTTCGATACTTTGTCCATATCATGAGGGGTCTGCGAGGTGTACGAAAGGCCTGTTCACAGAAAAAGCTGGCCTTGCACACAAGGTTTGGATGGTTGCGGGCGCCTTCCAGCAAGCAGCGCAAGGATTGGAAAAGGCTTTGACGATAGAGTCCGCGCCTTTGTTACCGGTGGAACAAATGACTTGCCACGATGTGGCATGACATGTCCATTTCTTGTTTCTATAGTTTCGATGTTTTTTTTCTCAGATTGGTATGATGCCTCTAGATGTTTGCGACTTTGGCGCCTGCGGCAGTTAGACTGTAACAGTCTAGAAAAGTTATCCTTGGTTTCAGGATAATTTAAAGAACAGGTCGGTCCCACTGCCATCTCGCCAAGGCCGCAGAATCCAGTCATCATTCAGAATGTCATGGTCCTCAAAGGCAAGACTTTGGTCAAGCAGGAACCTCTGAGCCTAAAAAAAAGCCAATACAGTAGTTGGGATTTAAAGTCGTCTAGCTTCAAGATTTTCAATGGACTTGTGGCGGATGTGAAGCACTATTCCTGTGCATCCATGTGCAAGAAAAGTGAACATGGCCGTAAAGAAGTGGATGAAATTCACGAGTTCAAGCTTTGCACACTCCAGTCCATGTCTATTGTCTTTTATGTGATACTTATAGGGAATTTGGGAATCTCTCGATGCTTGTTGTGCTTGTCGTCTCGCTGCTTCACGTTCCAGGTGTGTCGCAGACGGGGTACCTCTCAGAGCATCCAAAGCTGGATTTGTTCTTCTCCAAAAACTGAAGCCGTACCACACCCGGCAAATCTGGAAGAGGGTCAAGACTGCTATTCCAAGCAGCATCTGAAACTGCTACAAGAGCTAGCACTCTGTTTAGTTACCTGCAAGGAGGCTTTTGAGTAGGATACAGTAGGACCATAGTATGAAAATGTATGAAAGTTACAGTCTTGTCCTTCTGCATCAGACAGCCACCGGAGAAAGGGCTTAGGATCGCCATGGCGACAAGGTGCTCCACTTGGCAGCCCAAAGCTGGTTGTTGAGGCGTTTGAAGAGAAAGAGTTGCATCGTTGCAGATCATTGCAGATCCATATCCAACGTATTCCAACGTACTGTTCCATGCTTAGATACGCATCAATGATGGTAATTGTTGAGTGCAGTCTGCAGAACTGGACATGAAAGGTTCTGGCAGCTTGCATATGCCCAAGCCAACCATCTTGATGTAGGAAGTCGGAAGAATCATGGAAATCATATGGACATTATGGACATTCCCAAAGGCAGAGAGTCAACTGGTCCCATTGAGATTTTCCCACCCTTCGGTCAAGTGCCTACGGTGCCTACATAGCAAGTTGATTCTCTCCAGGTGATCCCATAGCTCTGCCGGTCGAAATTTGTTCGTAGATGAAATTTTCCCTTGGGCGATCACCATGAATACCATGACCTGACACCATTGCCGGAACCTTGGCATTGCAGTGGGGATTGTAGGACTCATGGGGACTTAAGGATTACTGTAAACCCAACACGGGGTTCATTCCATGCCGAGTTTTTTTGTGCGTGTCATCGCCCGGAAAACAACTGGACCGGCAGAGTCATATTGAATCCAATTCAATGAAAATCGTGATTTGCGATGAAACCTTGCCACATCCCCAATTTATCCCCAATTGGTTTGGGGTGTCACAGTCTTGAGTTGGTGCGACACAAGGTCTCAGTACCGCCATGAAAGTCACCATGCGAAAAAACACAATTTCCACCGTTATTTTGCTGAGGTTTTTAACATCATTGCTGCAAACTTGGCCGGGTGTCTGGCCCTTGGAGAGGACATTGTGAGCCCGGTGAGTAGCGATGATGCCATCATTGGTTAGAAAAACCCACCAAATCATGGAGGCCTTCACTTTAAGCAATCCTATACGCAATTTGAAAACCGGTGAGTCTATAAAGGTGATTTCACTAAGTTTTATAGTTAAGATTTAAGATTACAAACTTCATTTCGTGGGGACCACATCTTGTGTTGTGTCGAAGGATTTTTGGCCCAAAAACGATTTCAAACATCATCAATCATGGTCCTTGTTGTTTTTGTTACTATTGAATCGTGCCTTCTTTGACTATCTCTCAATGGATTGGTCAGATCATTCAACAGCTAAGTTGTTTGCTCCGGGAACTCATGGTTTGAGATGGCCAGCCCCGAAGATTGTCGAGCATACAAAGCAGAGACGTTCCGCTTGCAAGAAGAGAGAAACCTGCCGCTGCCATATTTTGATGCTGGCTTCGATGTGAAACTTGACGAAGCAATTTTTTCACCATGCACTTCTTGGGTCCATGTTTGGGCTCTTATTTTGATGAGTTTCTTGACATAGGAAAAAACAACAATGCCCCAAGAAAAGTGTTTTTTTTTTCATGAATCAAGGAGTGGCCGAGGGCTGATGGGCCACCAAGGAAACATGATCCCTACATTGTGCTGAACGGCACAGTGGGCAAGGTGCTGGTGGGGAAAGGTGCAGTGACTGGCCATTTTGAGGATCCGATTCATCCCATGGAGGATGATCGGAACGCCATCCACTACATCGAAACGATTTGGGTGGAAGATCAGGAGACCGGATGAAAAGAGATCCAAAGAGATTTGGAGAACCACATTTTCATACATTTTCACTACTTTTGGAATCATGAATTTTTGAACATGCCAGTGCATGAAGATTGTTGGTCATCAAAAGAACGTGAATTGGACAACCCGGATTCAAGGGAGTGGCTGTAGCTTAAAAGTAGTTACACAAGTTGAACCTATCGAGTATTCTTGGTGAACAGCTCCATCATAGCTGCTGAAGATTGCCATTTCCGTTGCAGTTTTTGCAGTTTCAAAATCGTTTGTGCGCCCAGGACGGAAATCTTCTTTCCATGAGGCATTTGTCTCCTGCCGAGCCAAGCCCTGCTACAATGATCTTTGAAATCCCACCAGGCACTACGCAAGTGCGTGCCTAACCGAACAATTGCTGATGTGATGTGAGAATGATCCATATTTTCTGCTCTCATACCATTGGTAGTAAAAAAATATAATATAACGATCAAACAACTATCAACAATCATAAACCACTACCAACTAAGAAATTTCTGATCTTTCAGGAATTGTCAGCAATAATGATTTCCTGTGCAGAGTCCACAGTCTGAGAGGAACTCCACTGGACCCCGAGATGTCGGACAGATCTAATTTATCCAATTTGGGGCCATCGGGCCATTGTGGGACCTTCCAAAGTTTCGGGATGTTTCTGTTTATGTTTTGGAAGAGACGGTTCAGGCCAGTGTTGCAAAACTAAGGCGCCTTCGAATTTTGCAATAGGCACGGTCTTTATCGCGGCTTGTCTCTTTCAGTGGATGGTAGAACCTTTTGGATACTTGCCAGTCTCATGCACAATTTCAAAGTTGCATACGTCAAAGGTTTTTGGGCAGGGTCGTTCCTCGAGTAAGGTGGTCCTTCGGTTTCGGTGCTCCCTTCGAACATCCTGCCCGATGCAAAGACTGGCTGCTCTGTACAACAGTGCACTGAGGGGACATCAGTGTCAGCTTGTCAGGCCTTTACCTTTGAGCTTTTCCGCAGAGACAACGTTCTGAAGAATGATCCCACAGGGGAGCGCACACCTTTTCTGACTTTGAACGGTTCACAGGCAACAATCGTGATTGGCAATGAGACTGGATTGGTGCTGGAGCCTTCAAACGACTGGGTTTCACACGTTTTTGCACTGGACGATTTGGGCAACTTGGTGGCTCTCTGTGAGCTGCTGCCAAGTGCTACTCTGGCAAGCTGTAGTTTTGAATTGCCTGCAGGCAGGTTTGGGTCAAAACTAACGTGAAACTGGTAGGGGTTGGCAAACGATGAAACATGACGACTCACGATAGATGGAAGAAATGAAACTGCATGACCTCATAGCCTTTGATGCTTGGATTCATCGAAGAACCTGCCAGGAATCATTTTCCTCCGGCCCTTCGTGTTCAACACTGAGCACGGTCTTTATGTAGGTGACACCGTGCAAGTGGCTGCGGCTAGTGCCACTTTGACCGGGGAGCGGTCATGCTCTAAGCGAGAATGCTCTGCAAGTCAGCCTTCGCTGGGAGAAGTTCCTTTGCGCAGTGCAGCGGTTGATGCATTAGCCAAGAGTCAACAAGAGTCTCAAGACCGGATCTCATCCCTCAACATGTGCAACCAACATTCAGCACTCTACTTCATTGCTCAGTCTCTTGTGGCGGGAGAGCTTTCTACTCAGATCAACCGGTTGACAAGTGAAGGCACCACCGACAGCAATGTTGCTGAGCGGCTCGAATTGTTCCCAGCCTTGTTTGCTGAGCTGAATGCTCTCGGTGGCCGCTGGTCTGGCTTGGACGTAGCCATAGAGCACACCATTCAAGATGCGAATGGCACAAGCCCACAATTGCGATTGGAGCTCATTTTGGAAGCAGAAATGTTGTTTAGCCAAAGAATCCTGTCAGCAGGTCGACAGACATTTGCTGATGGGATGTCTGTTCCAATTGAAAATTCAGAAGAAGATTTGCTCATCATCGAAGCAGTTTTCGGGATGGATTGGGGTTATTCAAACAAGAAAAGCTTGGGCCCTCACTACACCATTTTTTATTCTCCAGATTTCGTCAATGAGTTGGTGAACGTGACCTTATGTGCCAAGACCCATGGATGGATGGGCATCGGTTGGCTAAGTCCCAGCCATACGGGACTGTTGATGAACCACACCGATATGTCAGTGGCTTTCATCCAAGACGGTGTAGCTGTGGTGCAGGACCGCTTTGCAAGATCTATTGAAGAACCCTTGAGGGACGAAGTACTTGCCAACCAACGTTCAGATGATTTAGGGAGCCCTTTGAATGGGCGGAACGATTTGAAGCTGATCTCTGGTGCTTTGGGCTCTCCAGGCGTGTAAGACTTGATCCGGGCTGTAGCAGTTAGCAGGTTAGTTTTTTTTTAAAAGTAAGTTCAGGCAAGCTTGGCAGGGCCCATCAGGGCCTATTAGGTTGTCGCATACTCGCACTACTGGTGATTTGTCTCCTTGTCTGAAGAATTGTTCATAGACAATCCAGTGACATCAGGTGAAGCATAGAGCATGCAGATCAAAAACCTGACCTAGTAAGGAAAAAACGAATATCCTTATCTAGGTGGGGGGAGCTGCTCGGTTGGGGAGTCTCATATTCTGCCGCGGTTTTCTCTTCCAGTCTCAGCTTGTTTGTTTGGTTGTTTGTTTGTTTGTTTGTATGTGTGTGTGTGTGTGTTTGTGCGTCTCTTGTCAGCAAGTCTAAGCCACGGTCAAAATGGTGGAAGACTACTTTAGTATTGCAGGAGTTTTTTTTGTCAGAGATGTGCACGAAACACTGTAAATCGATAGGCCCCCCCAAAAGCGATAATCTGGGACCATACACGACAGTCCATTAAACTTGGCGTAAACATGCGTAAACCAAGCAAATACTCTTGTGCACATTCAGAACGGGCCGGGCAAAACCGATGAGGGAAATTCAATCTGTGGTGCCCTGTCTCCTGCAGTGACCATAGCATTTGGCATCCAACTCGCTCGCTCTCTTTCTTTATTTCTTTCTTTCTCTCTCTGTCTCTCTCTGTCTCTTTTTTTTTCTCTCTCTCTCTCTCTCGTTTTGTGGCAAATTTCCTTCGAACAACGTCACATGTTGAAGGGGTTATTTAGCGATAACTTTAGCGATAACCATTTGTTGCACTCGGTTCCCTGGCCAAGCCGTTGAGCCATTTCCATAAGTTTAGAAAGGAAATGAAAGGACATGAATGCAAAACGAAAGGAACAGGCGTGCAAATGAAAGGAAGATGAGAGGACATGAATGCACATTGGAATGAAAATGAAAGGAATATGAAAGGAACATGAATGGAAATGAATATCAATGAAAGAAACATGAAAGGACAATGAAAGGAAATGAATGCACAATGAAAGGAAGATGCATGCAAATGAAAGGAACATGAAGGAAAATGCATCCAAATCAATGCAACACGAAAGGAACATGAAGTGTTGCCGAAGCCAACAAAACAACTGCTCGATCCATTTCAGAGCCTGTTTAGGAATGGATTTTGGCTTCATATGTTGGATCTCGAACATGCTGATTTCCAACAAACCTGGAAAGCGATAGTGCCCCCCAAAAGCGATAACCATAACAATAGCAACTACTCAGATGTAAAGGATTTCGAAGGGAGCTCATATCCTTTTCGCGTATGTCCACGTCTTGGCCATTACGTCGGTCAGTGTAAAGTCTGGGTTTTGTGGCGTCAGGTCCGAGAACTTACTCGGGTTCCTACCAGAAAATGGAATGTTCCCTGTCCGGTCCAGGGGTCACGGGTGGAAGATGTGGATAAAGACTTGCAGTGCAAATGTATATATAGATGTCACATGATGTCACCATAAGCTGGTGGTAGCAAAAGAGCGGACAGTACGGGATCACTACATCATTACACCTTCTGTCTGTGGGTCTTTGCAATGATCGGCCTTTGGCATAGTGCAGCATCGGGTAGGTAAAGAGTGGTGCCCAGACCTTGAATGCAAAACTGGTTTCACGTTGGTGCAATTCCAGCGGCCCTTCGACACCGCTGATGCCAGTGATTTGCGACTTCCAGTGAATGGCGCCAAGATAGGCTTGATTCATGCCTTCGCCACCAGGGATCCAGTGAATGGCATCATGATTCAGCATACATCAACTTCGACAGGCTACGTAGACCTTCAATGGAATCTGGAGTGCAGTCCTGGCACATACTTTGAGGTGGCCATGCTTGGGTCGCGTCAAACAAGTGGGGTGGTGAAACTTGGGAAAGGTGCTGAGGTTGTCTTTCAGAGGTACTGGCGATTAATGTGTTTCGCCGCAATTATCAGAACAACTCGGTTCCCCTTTGTTTCTTTTTTCCAGGGGCCGAGCAAGTGGGTTGAAGCTTGACATTGCATTGAGGCTGGTTTCTATATAGAGGTAGTTCCTAGTTCCTGGAAAACATAATTAGTATGGTGTTGAAGGTGTTGGCATGATTTGCAGTAGTTGTGAAAGTGTCTTTGAACCGCCCCAAAATGATTCTGGTCGATGCAACAAGAAATGATGTACTGGAACGAACAGGCAGTTGAATAAAGTGCGGCATGTACACCACTTAGGTTTTGGTTCTGTTGCCCAATCTGGCCCACCTTCTTTTGCCTAATTGGAAACATAAGGTTTAGAGGGTCAAGATCGAGTGTTTTCCCCAACAGCGTAGCTAATGGGGTCTTCAGCCCAGAATACCTCCGGTGCAGGCGCCGGGTCAGGTTCAACGAGCTTCCGGAGAAGGTCAGGTGCAGCAGGGTTCCGGAGAAGGTTCCGGAGAAGGTTCCGGAGAAGGTTCCAGCAAGCCTTGGTGCAAAGCCAAGTCAGGTTCAACAAGGCTCCGGAGAAGGTTCCGGAGAAGGTTCCGGAGAAGGTTCCGGAGAAGGTTTGGGAGGCTTTGGTGCAGAGCCAGGTCAGGTTCAACAGAGGGTTCCGGAGAAGGTTCCGGAGAAGGTCTGGGAGGCTTTCAAAGCCAGGTCAGGTTCAACAGGGTTCTGAAGAAGGTTCCGGGGAAGGTTCCGGGAGGCTTTGGTGCAGAGCCAGGTCAGGTTCAACAGGGCTCCGAAGAGGCTTTGGTGCAGAGCCAGGTCAAGTTCAACAGGGTTCCGGAGAAGGTTCCGGAGAAGGTTCGGGAGAAGGTTCCGGAGAAGGTTCCGGAGAAGGTTCCCGAGAAGGTTGCGGAGAAGGTTCCGGAGAAGGTTCCGGAGAAGGTTCCGGGAGGCTTTGGTGCAGAGCCAGGTCAGGTTCAACAGGGTTCCCGCAGAAGGTTCCGGAGAAGGTCTGGGAGATTTTGGTGCGGAGCCAGGTCAGGTTCAACAGGATTTGCGGCCATTTAACTCACGGAAACCCGGCTGAGGTGCTTCCAGCGCTTGGCTTTGCAGCACACTTCAGAAAGATTAGTAAAAATAAAACGTTGCGGCTGTTGGGGATACCACCGAAGCTTATTTGCGTTGTATGGTTGCTAGAAGCTCGTTTCCAGAGCTCAGCAATTCGATTGCTGGTATTTGACTTTGGCCTCTTTGACCTGTACATACTTCCTTGACTTCGGGAAACACCGAAGCTAACAGCTTCTTCAAAAATTCATAGCCCGGTCTTTGGTGTAACAAAGTGTACCTCCCTTGGAAAGGACGCACGTTTTTGAAAGGTATATTATTGGGCATGGTCATGGATTCGAAAGCCGGATTTCATTATAGTGGCCACCATAAGCCCCAAGTCCCCAAGGTTCACCAGAACTATGAGCCGTTATGAGCCGTTGCTCGTTCTGTGGCAGGTCACCACCATTGAATGCAAGCCATGCGACAAGGGCTTCTTCCGCCCGGCTACATCGCCTGTATGGCGATGCCTCCAGGCGCCCTTCGGGTCTTTTCAAAACGAGACCGGCCAGGCTGTCGTGAAGCGATGCAAGGAGCGATCTTTTTTCGATCCCCACGGATTCCAAACAAAAAGTGCCTAGTAACATCTAGTAGCCTTGGACCAAGACCCCACTTTTTCACACTAATCCCACAAAGTTTGTCTGATCATTAAACATTCTTTCTGGATGGTCATCCGGCGTTTCAAAGTGATTATAATACATTATTTACAATGACTCTGTACTCGAGAATAACAAATATAACAAATATGGATTACGGCCATGGATGGCTTAATTTCAGTTTTTAGTCAGCCTCCTTAGTATTTCCGTGTTCCGTTATCCCTGCCTTGTAATGTGAGATGCCCACCCAAAAAAAACAAATGGAACTCAAAAGCCGCATGCAGATGCAAGTATATGTACAGTATATAAAAGACAAATTCAAGGACAATATAATTGAAAGGCTTACGCCTGACAGCCGGGCGCCGGCCAAGCAACGACTTTTGGCTTATGGTGTGGGAAGATTAGGCCGAGATTCTCCGCACAAACCCAGGGAGGGCTATGTTGAACTGAGGCAGGCATAATGCGCAGTGCTTTGCCTGTATGGAAGCAGTCTGGGCCTATGTTGAGCGCAGGTTGTGCCCATGTTGGGCCAAGTCGGGCCCATGTTGAGCCATCGGGCCCATCTTGGGCCTATATTGGCCCAGGTTGGGCCTATGTTGGGCTATGTTGGGCTCATCTTGGGCCCATATGTTGGGCCCATGTTGGCTTATGCTGGCCTATGTGGCCCCATGTTGAGCCATCTTGGGAGCTATGTTGGGGCCATGTTTGGGCCATCTTTGTTGAAACGATCTTAAGATGCCGCCCCACACCCCCTCCTGGAGCCCAAAACCACGTTAAAAAAAAACAGGTTTTGTAATATCGCCAAGATGAAATCCCTTGCCGCCGAAGGGCCCGAAACACCGTAAAAAACGATGTTTTTTGACACCGCAAGCAAAAAACACCGTAAATTACAGGTCGGGGGAGTCGACACGGGGTGGGTCGGCGGCAGGGGCGCAGCGCCTATAACCTTCAGTTACCACCGAAGGCCTCCGGCAAGGACACGGGCTGCGTGGCCGGCGCCGCTTTCTGAATCAGCTAGAAGCTATAGCTCCGGACTGCAGCTTTCAGGCCTCCAAAACGGACTGCTCGCCACAGCAAAACAGCATGCTACTGAAGCCCTCGGCCAACGGCTGCTGGTGCCTAACGTCGCTTTCTGAATCGATTAGAAACTAGCTCCAAACTGCAGCTTTCAGGCTTCCAAAACTAACGGACCCCCCGCCACAACGAAACAGCATACAGTTGCCTGTTGGCCCGCTTATTCTTGCAGCTAGCCTCTTGCCCCTCTTGTTCCCTGGTTTCTGGTTCTTGCAGCTTGCCTCTTGCCCCGCTTATTCTTGCATCTTATTCCCTCGGCCAACGGCTGCTGGTGCCTAACGCCGCTTTCTGAATCGATTATAGACGCTAGGCCTCCAAAACGGACAGCCCGACAGCGAAACAGCATGCTACTGAAGGACGGATCGTGCCCTCGGCCCACGGCTGCAGGTGCCTAACGTCGCTTTCTGGATCGATTAGAAACTAGCTCCAAACTGCAGCTTTCAGGCTTCAAAACCGGCCCCCTCGCCACAACGACGAAACAGCATACAGTTGCCTGTTGGCCCGCTTATTCTTGCAGCTAGCCTCTTGCCCCTCTTGTTCCCTTGTTTCTGGTTCTTGCAGCTTGCCTCTTGCCCCGCTTATTCTTGCATCTTGTTCCCTGGTTTCTTGTCCCTGATTTCTTGGAACTTGCTGCTTGCTTCTTCGGATTAGAAAACATCAAAAAACAGCAAGCGACCATATGATCTTCCAACTTCTGCTGCGCACGTAAGGCGGCCCAAATACCACACACAAACTATTAACCTTCTAACCACACTTTGCACCCCATTAGCGGCCAGTCATACCCCAACAGGCACTTCCCGAGAACAAACCACCTCTTCCCAGACCTCCAGATTCAGACGGGCCCTCGCCATCTGTTCAAAATGGTTGCTACAGATCGACCGCCACTTTCCAACCTAGCGTACTTCACTGTATCCCTGCGTCAGGATGGCTTTACGACCGCCTCAGCGGGTGCAACGCATGAATTTGCTTGCGTTTGCCCAGGTCCATCTTTGACTGCCCCGGATGGGCGATATCATGTGGCTCATCCTTTTAAGTCAGGTTTTCCACCGAGAAAATTTCCCATGCTCCTTTTCTTTTTGGTACCGCAAGATTTCGCAGTCACCTTTTGATTCCAAAAAATGTTTGCAGTGAGGTGGACATTTGTGATGGGAAGGCAATGGTGGATGAACTTGGACAAGCTACTTTATGTGCTCGCTTGGGTGAGTGTTTGGAGTGTCCTGAAGGAATGGATTGCAAAGGTTCTCGTGACTTGAAACTAAACTTGGATGCCAAAACCAAAAGTGCTGCACTGAATCGTGTCGAAATCTTTTGCTCATCCTACGCCTATGCAGACACAGCTGCCTGCACTTCGCGTGTCTTCTGTGAATCACATTTAGATGATATGGATTGCGAACATGCACCGCCGGAGCTCAAGGCAGGCTTTTGGTCGCATTCCAGTCAGCCCCTCTCCGTGTTCAAATGCAAGAACGAACTGCAGTGCATTGGTGGAAAGCCAACGGGATCCATTTGTGCATCAGGGCGTGAAGGAAGAAGTTGCGGATTCTGTATGCCCAACCACTTCTCTAACAGCCTCGGGCAGTGTACTAAGTGCGGAGATTACGATGCGATCCCTGCTGTCGTTGCTATGATCCTTCTACTCTTGGCGATCGGAGTTTTGGGATGGCAGATGGGGCGTAAGATCAGCAAGAGCTCAAAGCAAGTCATTTGACTGCACCCCCACACACACATACACACTGCTGACCTAGACGGAGAACCGACACAGACGCACATGATGACCGAGTTCACCACAGTGGCCTTGAGATATGCTGTGTAATCATGGCACAGTGTGTAATTCAGACCCAAGGCCATTTTATGGTTTCAATTGTTTTGTCCCCATTGGTCCAAACGGAACTCTTCACGTCGGCACAGACTGGAACTTCCAGAGAAAGCCTCTTTGTATTTCCATGTCTTCAGATTCTCCAGGGTCTTCCTTACGTAGTTTTGGAAGTGCCCCTCGGTTTGACATATTTTTTTTGGGGCCAATAATCATGTCACATCCATGCTCTTTGCAGCCTCGTCCTTCGAGAATTTCGACACTTCGAGGTCATTTCTGCCACAATCATTGGAACACAAGCTGGAGTGATGATTCAGACCCTCGGGGTTTTTTCCGACTTGTCCCTGGTGTGGGAGGAGCCAGTAAGATCATTGCTGCAGTTGATGCAGCTGATCAATTTCGATTTTGACATCATAAAGATGAGCTGTGCCTCAGTTGACGAAGGTAAGTTTTGCCGTACTCAAAGCGCCAAGCATCTATGAGGTTGCCAGAACCTTTGGGTTGTTTCTGAGTTCAAGGCTGTTTGATGCTGTTTGCGGGTGACTCAGAGCAAAGAATTTGACCAATATTTACTGCTTCTATGAGCGAGGCAGTATTATTTAGCAAGGTTGGTTGGCATGGATGGTTCTCAACCAATTTCTGCAGATGATGGCCAGGTACCAGTGCGGTTTGCTTGGGATTTGATGTCTAGACGTCCTTGGTAGGTGCTGCTGAAGCAGAATCCATTGTTGTTTCATGACTAGTTCCTTCATCTCCAAGAGACGGTTCACTAGATGTAAGTTGCACCCGTAGTTCGACAATGTTCAACATGAGGTTTTAGATTTTCTTTTCAAATCACTTTGGTTCACGCCGCGCACCAGGTTACGTTGGCACCGATGATCCGCTTTTAAACATTGTGGTTTTGCTCCTGGTGATCCCCACTTTGACGGTCTGTGGGGCACTCCTAGCCGCCTTGCTTGCTCGCTGGAAGGGGCAGCAATTCAGCTGGCCAAAGTATTTAAACGTCGTGGGTGTCATGGTTGGAAAAGGGATGCGTTTCGTCGCGATCGTTTTTTCTGTGGCATCCCCAAAGGTTTCTTTTGGAAGTCATATGTTTTGTTGACCAGTTTTATTTGGTGTAAAGAGTAAGTTTTCTTCATTTCATTGAACGGATCCCCATGACATTGATTTGGCAAAAAGATGTGGCTTTCTGTGACGGACAATGTCCGGCTCCTCGAATCCAGGCGCTTCCCCCCAAAAAGCTCAAGGCCAGTAGCCTAGTGAAGTCGGCCGAGGTTTGGTCTTCTTGGTTCTTTATTTGAGCATCTGCATGTCTCTGACGCGGCCCATCCATTGCCAGAGCAATCCCAATGGTTTGCACACCATGGTCTCCAGCCCTGCAGTGCTATGTTGGGCACCCGGGCCACATGTCGCCATGGCGGTCCTCTCTCTTGGAGGTCCTTTGCGATTTGGAGGGCTGAAACCATTGCATGACCAGGGATTTTCCTTGCGGTGGATGCTGGTTAAGTTCATAGCGATGATCAAACATTAGAAACCACTGGCCATTTGGGCATGTGACCAGCTTAGTGTCGGAGCTTTTCTATTCCCTTTCATTATGGTTTCAGCGGAAAAGCTTGATGTTCTGATGTGCTTGGTCAGATGAAAGTTGGACGTTCAGGGGCCTGATCTTGGTTCTTTTTGGGTATCACGGTATGACAGGAAACAACCCTTTTCCGCACCTTAGATTCGCACCTTTTAGAGTGGAGGCCTTTTGCTTTATGGCGCTGGCTTCCTCGCATACGTGACCCACATAACGTGGTGCTATCCTGCCTTGGTAGACGATGGCCATGGGTTAAAGCTGCTGGTCCAGTACCGCTTCCTCTTCGGTCGCTTCAAGGAGTCTTGGTGGGAATCCACCCCAGGTTGAGACGAAGTGTAGAGAAGGCATGAAACGAATTGGTTGAGGGGATCCCTGTAGTGAAACCGCTAGGCTCAACCCCAGAAGTTTCCAGATGAACTGACTTGTTGCGAGATAGCATAAACTGAGAAAGATGAGAAATAGACTTGGTTCTCACCTCAGATCATATTGGGCAGAATGAGGGACTGCCCAGTGAACGGATACGCAGAGCCGATGTACAGTGCTTTAGTTTGTAAAACATGTGGGAAGTGGGATGGTCTGAACCTGCGGTGTTCTGTGTTTCTGCTTTCAGGATCCGGGTTACTATTGGGGCTTCTACTTCATCGTGCAGAAGGTCTTGATCGCGGTCATCCCCATCCTCTTTCCGAACTCAGCTGCAATTCAGATACTTCTCTTGGCAGGCTTCATCCTGTTGTACTTGCTGGGGGTAACTTTTGTACAACCGTGGCTCGATGGCATGCTTGTGCGCGGCATTGTGGCGAACACATGTATGTCTATCTATCTATCTATCTACCTATCTATCTATCTATCCATCTATCTATCCATCTGTCTATCTGTCTATCTATCTATCTACCTACCTATCTACCTATCTACCTATCTACCTATCTACCTATCTACCTAACTACCTAACTACCTAACTACCTACCTATCTGTCTATCTATCTATCTATCTATCTTTCTTTCTTTCTATCTATCTATCTATCTATCTTTCTACACATACATATGTATACACGTGTACTGTACATGTATTGTACATGTATCATGTATTTTGATATTGTGTAGAATAATCATCATGTCCTCTATTGACAACAACTCTTTCAATTCTTATAATATGAATACCAATATTATCACTTGTAGAACAGTTCAGCGCAAGACTGTCCTAGCTGTCCTAGCTGTGGTAGCTGGGCAGCAAGGGCAGACTTAGCGCAGCCAAGGTGGGTCACTGATATTGCGAACTTTGCGGATTGCTTTCTCAATGCGGGACTCATCTTCTTCTTACTCATTGCATCCTTTCTGGTTGATGGGAACGATAAACAGACTAGAACCGTCATTGGAGTCATCTTGCTATTCCTGGTTTTGGCCATTACCTTGGCCTTCGGCCTGCTGGTTCTTCGTGCCTTCTACCAGAAGCTCTTCCCGAGTAAGATGTATGACATATTCCTTTGTCATCACAAAGCTGGCGCTGGAGTGCTTTGCCGGTGGCTCAAGTCCAAGCTTCTTCAACAGAGCAAGGGCCAGGCGAAAGTCTTCTTGGACTCAGATGAGTTGGAAGGCTTGGCGGACATTGGAGACATCGTCAAGAGTCAGTCGGAGACTCAAGTTGGAGACTAGTGGCCGGTGAATCGGTCAGAAAGAGATCTGGAACAAAATACCATTGATGCGTGTTTGGAGGAAACACATTTATCTATCTTGTAGATATCAGATAAAAGGTATCGCCGCATTTCGAGCTCTAACAAGTACAAACAGGCTGAGGAGGTTGGCCTTAACTGTTTCGCTCATTTTTTCCGTTTCTCCATACTGTCCACCGCTGCACATCGAGGTCAGAGGCCTTGGTCATTGTGGCCAGCAAACAGATTCTGACGCGGCCCTGGTGTGCTGTGGAGATTTGCTCGGCAGTGGCCAACAAGGTCATGGCATGTCATGTCGCTGACATCTCACGTGATTGGTGCAGTTTTTGTGCATCTCATGTGTCGTTTGTGAAATGAACACGTGGGTGTTCCCCCCCAGACAGGTAGACATTATGATCCTTCAGTGCTCGGATTTCAAGTTCTATGATGGTGAAGGATTTGAGGCTCTGAGAGAAGGATGGACCAGCTCTGATCTTTTAATTTTCGCCCAGAATGCCATTGATCCGCTCATCATCGAAGAAAGCTATCGAGTTCTGCCAGGAAACTCGCCAGGTATGAAATTGTCAGGTTTTTGAGTTGGCAAACTGCAGTTTTTTTTCCCCAAGCCGCGCATCACCTACTTTCAGGTATGCCTTTGGTGGAGTTCAACGCATTTGGCACCGAAGCGGAGATGACTTCAGCAGTGGCTTCACTTTTACCGTTGGCTCGCCCTTCCAGCGGCCGTTCGAGCAGCCGTTCGAGCACCCGTTCCAGCGGCCGATCAAGCCTGGTGACTCGCATTACGAGCAATGCCAGTGGCGACTTGGAAGCGGAGATCGTGATTTTGGGCCAAACGGTCAGCTCTGAGGGACGAATGACTTGTTTGGTGCTGAAGAGCATGGTCATGGAGCGCCTTCGTCGCTCCATCATGTTCGTGACCACGGTCTGTGAAGCATCCAAACTGGCAAGGAATGCAAAGTACATCCTTGTAGTTCTGACAGGAGGGCTGTTTCAGGACCAAACTTTCTTGAAGATGCTGGAAGCCCTTGAGCAGGCTAATCCGCAGTTGGAGATCCTTGGTTGCCAGGGTCAAGGGGCTGGCCAAAATCTGTCGATTGCAAACCCCAAGAAATTCGGGGTCGCTCCCGAACGTCCGAGGATTGTGAGCGCTCTGGCGGACCAGGCCTTTGAATTCCCCTCTGCTGGCTTCTTTGTAGAGTTGGAAAACAGCTATGGCCTCGCCATGGTCCAATCCGTTAAGCGTGTGGTGAACATCTTGGCCTTGCCGTTCACAGCTCAGACCTCCATGAAAGTCATGAGCGCCCAGGCCGTTCAAAACACGTCACCAAACATTTTGTTTTTGCGTTTCAAAAGAGTATCCTGGTAGTGACTGACAGATGGATCCCAATTTGGTGTTGAAAACATGCCTGCATGTTGTGGTAACAATGCTGGAAGTTGAGTAGGCTGGGTGGGTCAGAGCCTGATGGCCGTATGCCATTTTGGCTCAAGTCTCATCCTGCTCTCAACTGCAGGTGGGACAGTATCGCATGGGCTCGCAGTTGGAGGGGAGCACGGTAGCGGAGACCGAGGGGGACTTCCTCCTGCTAGCACTGCTGTTGGCGGTGCTGGTGGGCGGGATACTTCTGGGTTGCTGCGGGGCGTGGCTCTTCCTTCGACCGGTGCGCCAGCCGGCAGTGGTGAAGGGGCACGGAAAGGGCAGGCAGTCGGTGGTTCTACGGGCGCTTAGGTTTATCCGAAAGCGCCGGAGAATCGCTATACTACCGCAACCGTCAGCTGCGGCAAATTCCTCTGATTTTAAGAGGGGTCGAGCCAGCCAGTCGAAGGGACACCTCAGACAGGCAGGTAAGGCCACTCCAGGAAGGACCAGCCATGCGCCATGGAACCCTCCGCCGAAGAGCTTAACCAGATTGACACTCTGGATTCGGCCTTCGATTGGGCGGGTGTGGCCGATGACGTGCGAACAGCACTGGAAGCGGGCCTGGGTAACCCAACGAAGATTCGGGACATCATCTTCGTGGCACGCCAGGTGTGGGACACTGTTGTGGCCCGCGCAAAGGGGAAGGGCCCCGCCGAGGCCGACGGAACAGTGCCCGTGATCTGAGCGCGGTTGACTTGTCCAGTGTGGAGATCTTTCGGACGGTTTGTTTCCGTCGCGTAGGCGCGGTGCCTAGCACACCGGGGAGCCCGGGTCCGCCGCTGCCAGCCGTGTCGACTTTGCCGTGTTCGGACCCAATGGGCTCAGATTGCTGCGCAGGCTGACATTCCAAGCCATTTCCTTGAACTCGCAGGGGGAGTGGCAACGGAAGGAGATGCCTGGACCGCCCGACTACGAGTCCTGGTTCCAGATCTTTCGCTGCGTGAGGACGACCTTCTTGTTGTTGGAGTCGGCCTCTGCGGAAAGGATGGACGCGTACGCTGAGCACATCCGGCAACTGTCTTTGCGCTTTGGTCCCAACTGGTGGGATCTGGTGTACACAGCCGTTGTGCACATGCGTTCAGAACAATTCGAGAGGATCCGTCGCAGGCTCCATGAGCAGCCGCAATTCGGTTACACGGAAGCGGCACCATTGGAGCTCGTGATGGCCCAGGCGATCAAGGAGGACGCCATTTTGGTCTCGCGAGGTCATCATCCCAGCCACGCTGAGGCTTGCACAGGCCCGGTCCATACCAGCCCCACTAGCAGCTTCAGGGAAAACAGGCCTGCTATCTGAAGCGGAGGCGGCAGAGCCCAGCGTTCCCAAGAAGAAGCGTAAGAAGCCCGTACGAAGAAGAAGGCTCGGATCATCTGGGACCTTCGCGAAAGCGGCATCAACGATTGCTGCGACCCCGTCGAGCGGGTGACTCTTCCGAGACTCCTTGATGCAGTGGAGGATTCAGTGAAGACGATCCGCGGGGACGGCGCGGTCACCTATGCAGCGATCGACATAGAGGATGCGTTCCACAATGTGCCGGCGGGACCAGACCGCAGGTTCACTGTGGCGGCTGCGGAGCTTGAGCAGGACTCGATGGCATACATCGTTTACAATGTCCTGGTTTTCGGAGCGCGGTCGTCACCTACGTTGTGGGGTCGCTTCGCCACATTTCTTGGTAGGCTACTGGCTTGCACAGTGCCGGAGTGTACGTGGACGACCCACTGCTATGTCTGCCAGGCGAAGCAGAACACCTTCTCACAGTAGTGCTGCTGCTTCTCACGAGGGTTTTCGGATTCCCATTAGAGCTACCCAAGGCATCTGCCGGAAGCTCAGTGAAGTGGATCGGAGCCCAGTTGGAAGCGGGCACCGACGAGAGTGGGAGTATACCGGAGGACAAAACCAAGAAGCTCTTGTCCGACGTCGAAAAGTTCCTGAAAGCCCCAGTGGTTGGCACAAAGCAGCTTCGTTCGTTTGCCGGCGGAATGGCCTTTGTGGCGGGTCTTGTTCCAGTGCTAAGCCCTTCTTGGTGCCGCTGTGGGCCGGACCGACGAATTACGCTGATCCTGGTCGGTGCCGCCGGTCCATGGTCCGGCTGAAAGTTCCACATCAAAAGGGTAGCTCACTGCCTGCACTGGATTAAGGCCCTCTTGCAAAACGAACACGGCAGCCTAGAAAGAAGGTTCGAAGTGGATGCCAAGGACGAGGGGTGGGAGCTGGTGACGTGCGCATGTCCTTGGGGAATCGGAGGAGTATTATGCCAGAGAGGTGCTCCGAAGCGCTGGTTCTCATCGCCTCTGACACCCGAGCTCCTCGACAAGTTCAGCGCCAAGAAAGGGGACCCAGCCTTCAACACGGCTTGGGAGCTTACGGCTCTGGCTACCGTCGTGCCCGAAGACGCTGACGGTCCGCATTCGGCGCACTCAGGATGCTGCTCAAAGCTGACGTCCCAATTGGGAGCTCTGGCGGTCTGGCGGTCATCGCCCGTGAAGTGGCATTGGACATCGCCGGAGGGAACTACAGCATCGGCGAGCTAGAGCACATCCCAGGTAGACGCGTTGAGCCGTCTGTGGGCTCCGCAACCCCTGCCATTCCCTTTTGTAGGGGCAGCGGTACAAGACCAATGCCCAGTTTTTAACGACAACTTTTGGAAAGTTGTTTGAGAAGAAAGGTGCCACACCCGGGGTTGGGTGACGGGCTCACCTAGGGAGGCGGTCGTCGAGGGGTGGGGCAATGATGGGGCAATGCTGATGATGGTTCTGGCTATAGCATGGTCAAGCCCAAGAACATAGTCGGAAAGGGCCCGGGTCGGCCAGGGACTTCACTGCAACAGTCAATGTCTCAGCCAACAAAGCGAAAATCCTTGAGCGAAGGGTTTGCAATGGGTCCCCATACAGGCCGAGGAGGGGCCGGCAGGGCAGGAATGTGCCGAGGTGCTGGTTGCCAAAGCAGATGTCCCCAGGGCATCGTTGCGGTCCTTGCAGGGCACCTGGGCCAGGTTAGCCTCACAAGCGGGCTTTTCGAACCCGTTTCAGCTGACTCCCGAGCTGGTATTCACAGTGATGGGGGTCTTGAAAGCTGCGGAGTATCGCTCCGCAATCAATTGCCTAGAGGCTGCAAAACGCAGACACGTTCTGGAGGGTCACTCTATGAATGACGTCAAGGTCGGTAAAACGACGCCCAGGGAGACCCAAGCAGGCCGATTCAATGTCTCTGTCTGTGTTAGCGGCATTCAAGGGTAGGGAGGCGGTAGTAGCCTACGGGCCCATGGCCCCAGGCCGTGCATGCCTTCTCGCGTCATGGTGGCTGCTCAGAGAGATCGAGGCTAGCCACTCCAAGATGTCCCGGATCAGGCTGGATTGGTCCAAGCGGCGGGCTGATTAGTTCTTACCCAACTCAAAGACTGATCTGCTGGCCTTGGGGACGTCGAGGGCTCACACTTGTAGCTGTGCAGTGAGCGATGAGTGCCTGTGCCCAATTCACCTAGTGGCTGCGCAGGTCGCGTTCGCAAGCACGGCTCCAGGCAACACATCACAGCGGCTGTTCCCAACCCCGTCTGGAAACAAGCCGACCAAGCTAGGGTGGGTGAAAACGTTCACAGAAGTGGTGAGGCAGGCGGGTCTTCCAACTGGGACAATGGTGCTTTAAAGCACACAGGGCACTGCGAGAGCGTCAGGTGCTTGCCACCTAGCGCCAGCAGGAGTGGACCTGTGGCGTATCCAAGTTTTTTGGCCGGTGGTCCTCTACGGCATTTCTGAAATACGTTAGATCTTCACCCCTCGCTAGTTTAATCTGTGCAGCCTGGCCTCGGAATCAGCCATTGCGTCGTTAATTGCAGCGGCAAAGGCGGAGCTGCGTGACACCCTCGAGCGCACAAATTTTAGAAGATCCAAAACGTGTCATCCCAGTCTCGGCAGAGATGCTTACCGAAGTGTCACCGGAACCCATGCCAGTGTCGGGAAAGCGTGAGTTTGTCCTCAACTCGGCTGCCGGCGGCAAGGTTCACGTGATTCTGTCGAAAGGCGAGGATCTACATCCGAGACATTGGCGCACTCGCTGTGGCTGGTATTTTGGAAGGGGCCTTACGAATTACAGCATTTTTGACAAAATTCCGTCTGGACAGCCGTGCAAGAAAGATATGTATCCCAGCGCGGTCATTGCCCGGCGGGTCGGAGTCAGCGACATCAGACTCAGATTCCTCTTCCAGCGCATAAAGCATACGGGACAGGTTCCTTCAGAGTCATGTGGGATGCTTGGCAGTGAGTGTCAGCCTTGCTGATAGCATTTCCAGGCTGTCACCCTGCGACTCTGAATGGCAACCGTGTTGTTAAAAATGCTAGTGCGCCGATGGGTGGGTGGGTCAGTGTCGAAACATGACGTGGCATTGTTCAAGTATTTCAAAGGGCTTCAGGGTCGGTGTTTCTTTTTGCAGTCAAACTTCACAGGTGGGCGAACTCACCCGGCGCTTCAAATTCGCCCAGATGTCATCATCCGACATTTACTTTGATCAGGAGGCTCGGCCCCGCACTGCCTCGAACGATGAGGGAACGCCTTGCCGAGATGAGAACGGTGCTGCCGCCTTTGGCGGCACTATCACAGACGATGCCTTGGGTGCTCAGCCCGAAACAGATCTGGAGACGCACAGCCAAGACTTGCTCCGAGAATCCACTCGCAGTTTTGAATTTTGAATGGTGGATTTGCCAATGCTCCTTAGTTGGTCAAAGCACATTCATCTTTGATGGTTTTGGTCAATGGAAGACTAGATATACAAGTCCATTTCGATGATCGGTTTCTCTGGTTATTTCCTGGTATCACCTCAGAATTTTTATAAAGAAATTTGTGCACTGATCGCTGAGATCATTGAAATTGAGTGCAAAAGATAGCCACAGCCAAGTCCTGCCAAACATACTTAAACATCATTAGAACACAGGATTTTTCCCCCAACTGATCGACTGGAGGCAGGGAATCAATGCTGGAAATTCAGAGTGATTCGGTGCACAAACTTTTTTTTTTTGCAGCGTTGCTCAAGGCATTGGTGGCAAAAAATGCACGAACGGAATTCTGAGCTGATTTCTGGGAGAAATTTAGATGTTGGTAGATTTTTCATGATATTTCGTTTTTTTTGGCATATATAATATATTGATTGAGCTGCACTTCTCTCACAGTGATACCCTCGTCCTATTTGAAGAATTCCAGGCTTCGGATTTTCTATATACGCTCCGGTTGGAGCGTTACGAAGTTCTACGGGTACGAGGCTTGCCACCAGAGTGTAGGAAACCCAAAAGATGTGGTCAGTGAAATATCAGAAAACTGGAGTTGTTCCATGGCAAGTTGCAACTGGCGGGAATCACACTTTACTGCAGGCGATGTTTCCACTGAGAGAGCAGAGAGATTCGAAAAGGCGGGGACACAGCCAGCAGTTTTAAGTGATACGAACTTTCTGCCGCCTTTTTAAGTCACAACAGTACCTGAAAATGTGTAAAGTTCCCCAATCTCTGCACAAATTCGACTCATTGTGCTTTTCCTTCAAAAGAGACTTGAGAGTATTGTCATTTCTTTTAACACGTCTCAAAAGCAGCTCCCCTCTGCAGCTGGACAATGGTCTGGTGAAGACTGGCGAGCACATCAAGGATCATCAAGGCCACAGAAGTGACTGAATTAAAGACCACATCAAGACCACATCAAGGATCATAAAGGCACTGCTTGAGAAGCAGCTGTTGGGTTGAGACATGTTGAGACCAAGCAACTATGCGGAAGGCCGGGGGTGAGTTGGCAGGATGATCGACATGAATTACAAGTATGAATTTCAACCACCATCCCAACGAAGCCAGGAACAGCTTCAAGGAACAGACGTCACCATGGGCCAGATCCCTTTCCAAGCTGACTGGAGCAGTTGCCATCCTTCTATCATTGCTTGAGCCGTGCTACAATGCGAGGGAAAGTGCGCTGAGCATGGCGATGTGTTTGATGACTTACACTTTGAACACCTCTTTTTGGTGCTTGTTGACATTGAGGTGACAGTTTAAGTTTAAATGTTGCCACAGGATGCCACAGGCCTCTTCAGAATCCAGAATCCTTCACGGACTTGGCAGGTACGAATATCGTGACGGAAACTTAGGCGAGTTGCTATCGGGGGTGTCTTGCTCTGGTCTGAAGATGTTAGTAGCTAAGGAAATTAGTTGTTTTCAAGGAATTTGACAAACTTGTGCTTGCAATTCTGCATCTTTAAGCTACGCATTTTGTTGAGTCTTTAGACTCCAGAAAAGGTGTAGAAATATAGACAGGGATAGGGATACCTCCAGGGCTGGTACGTAAAACTTAAGAATCTAGAAGCCAGAGTCTAGATCTGATGAGACTTCATTTTGATAGACCCAAGCAGCCACAGGATGCCCAGTCAAGTGGGGTTTGCATGTCATGGTTTCACATGTCGTGCGGCCAGAGCTGATACGGAGGATTTTGCGTGCAGATCATGCAGATCATCCTAAATGGCGCCCATTTTGCACGGAGTCAGAAAAAAGCTCACGGTGTCACGCATTTATTTGGATTGCAGCGGGCCGAACCATGTTTCTCAAAGGTTGAAATTTATTTTGTTTGGAAGAATGCTTGGTTTTCGGAAGACGTCAAATTGAAAAAATACTGGCTATATTTGTGCTAGTTTGTGCTGGTGTGCAGGCGCTGTTAAACAAAATGATTGATGCTGCTGCTGTTTGGTGGTGCAATCTCGTACTGTATGCATTCAGGATCCAAGTGGCAGGTTGATGCAATCGTGGGGCTGTTGGAGTACCAACTGAGTTAGTTTCAGTGACAATCCTTAACAACCACGTTGTCCAATTGAAAGGAGCACGGATAGTATGCACGCCATGTGTCAGTCAAAGCAACTTTTCCTGGACATTTTGGTCGTGGAGCCATCTCCACCAACACAAAAGCAATAGTTTCGACCAGTTCAATATCCCCAAGAATCCTCCGTCTCGACATATTTTAGATTGTACATTGAATAGATCATTCAACCAAACGACTTGCAAGGCCGCCAAAGCAATGACGACTCCTGACTAGTTCCCCTAAGACGGAACATTACATTAGAATACACCTTGCAGCATGGAGACCAGGCACAGCTGCCCGAGCGTTGAAAGATGACATGTCGAACATGTGCGTTTTCATGTTTCATTTTGTTACTGCATGTTTTGGAGCTTGTCCGATCTGCAAGGTGACCCTTATGTCTGGGCATGGCAGGACCGAACATGCAATTTATATAATCGTATTTGTGTTCCAGTTTCCACAATTTTAATTCAAACCTGCTTATCTTCAAATGAATGGATGAGGCTCTTTTCAAGTTCAAGGGAGCCAACAGACCAGGAAAGACACGTTGTCATCGGATGACATGAAACTCCTGTTCCAACTTCAGGTGCGGCGCGACAGTGTTGTCGTGGTTCTGTGAGGTATATAATTCTGTGCGATACAATACAACGAACAGAACATGGTGGTCGGAATGGAAGGAACATGTTTACATACAAGGATCCCATTTGACAGATCCATTGCAAACTTATTTGCCAAACATGTGAATTGAACGAGCCCTGGCAGATCTTCCGATTGAGCATGTCAGGTGTGGAATCGAGAATTGCGTTCAGAGTTGGGTTTGGCTGAGGAAGAGGTACCTCAGGCACGCTGTCAGATTCCACCAAATACGGTACAGTATAGTTGGCAATCAATCAATAGATATAGTTATACATAATATACATATATGATATATGATAGATGTATATATATTTATATTCTATGTAATAAATAAATATGTATATGTATAGATACATTTTCTTTTCCGCAGCTAGCCATGTCATCATTTCCCATCAGTGATCTCCATTTCAATGTTGAATTCACCATGGATTCTCAGTGTTGACTGCGAGGTGGACCTGCAAACAGAGGAATTTGTAGAGCAGCTGAGGCACTTTGATTCGCAGTCAAAACATGCTGCATCTTACATTTTCTCGACCTAACGTTCTGATAAGGGTGGATTCCAGTTGGATCTCAGTGCAAGGCAAGCAGCACTGGAGGGCTACCTTCTTTCTGAAGAACTTCAATCTTTGGAGAAGGATTGCCCTTCAGAACCTTTGTGATCTTTGTGATATGGAACGGCAACGCTGTACCTGTGATGAGAGTCTACAGTGCAACATGCCCAAAATTACAAGGCAAAGATGACTTTTGAGAATGCTGTCCGTGCAGTAAGCATTGCTAATGTGCCAGAACGAAGAGATTTACCAAGTTTTCCCAGACCACGTCGGCCCCGTTGGTTTCCTCAGGAGCTGTCCAGCACTGCCATGAACTTGACAGAGGTGCCACCTGTTTGGCTTGGCATTTTAGTTGTGATGCGATGGCTTTCTGATGGGCTTTGTACCTTCTGAAAATAGGGAAACGCAGTAGGTAATTTGATGTAATTTGTTGTTTTTTAGCAGACTAGCATGGCACTCTGCGCGCATGAGATCTTTTGGTACGCTTTAGTAGACTGACATGTGACATGAGTATATCAGGCCCAACTTGCGACTCTCGACCGCGAAATGGTTCGGACCCCAAACTTGACTTGTTCAACGGACAGTATTTGGACCTTGTGAACAACAACTGGACCTGGTGGGTGCAATGTTAAGAAAGCAGATCGATCTGTTGTTCAATGCCTGTTGCTAAGGATAAACATGAACCAGAACCAATTCCAGACGATCTCTAAAGGTGCTTGTGGCTGCCAGTCGTTGAGATTTTGGGAATTCCCATTCCATCCTGTGGTTTCGAAACATCAAATTTCTCCCATTTGATGTCATAAATTATGGGCAAAAGAGCAATTCTGGGGCAAATCCATCTAGTGCATCTTGTTAGTCGTTAGATACTATATACTATATACCCCCCATCACACTGTCGCTATTTTGTCCCCACTATTCCCAATTATTTCCCCATCATATCCCTTCTGGTTGTCTAAAGTTCCCAGTCAAGCGGACAAGCCCATTTTATTGTTACCCCATTTCTGTTGAGTCCACCGCTGGTTCAATTCCCACTTTAAATCACAATTTTTGATCCAAGCCATGTATCACATTGTTGGCACTGTTGGTTGCACACCTCATTCTATCCCATTACACCCCATATTCATGTTTGATTTTATACCCCAATGTTGCTGAACATCCCAATGAAATGTGGGACACAGCCATAAAAAAATCCCATATTACAGTGTTAGTCTTCTATACATCCCTGAACACATCTCCAGTTCATTTCCAAACTGCTGAGGTGTTGTGCAGACATCATGGAGGACGTCCAAAAGGCCCTGGGAATCATGGAAGGTGAAGAGATGTGAAGAGCATACAGGCAATTTCCACCATCAAAAAGACGGCTTCATAGATATCCTATATTATCCTACAGGTATTCTATAGATCCTTAGATATTTCTGAATATCAACAGATATTAAAACTTTAAGAATTTGTGGATGACGTTCCTCATCGATTTGTGTACTTACTCCATTGAGATGATATTAGATGATATTCCTACAGAAACGTTGGAATTTTGATGTTGTTCCAGGAATGTGACTTGCCAGAGGCTATTCGCTGTCTTTTTTGTTGCTTTCCCATCTTTCCCATGAAGTGACAGAGTTCGGGATGAAGTCAATGAAACCATGGGACCATGGGCGGAGTGGAGAATAATGGAGAATATCTTTGAACATTGGACCGCAGCAATTTCTTTGCTGAGGTGACTCGGCAGAATATTGAGCTGAGTTCCAGTGACTGGGATTGCACAAGAAACCTGAAAGTAAGAGAACATATTGTAGTGTGCGCGGAGCAGGACACCTTTGAGTACGGCTTAAAAGTTGGATAAGATCTGATTTGCGAAGGGGCAAACACTAATGGTATTTTGTGTTGTTTCCGATGGTGATCGCCCTCAATGAGTGCCCCCGCGTGTATACCTTGTAGTCACTAGACCGGTAAATGTGTACAGGCTGTTTCTGTTTGTGGCATTTTACCTCTGAAGCGTCTATCCTAAGCTTGGATTTGAAACGAGACTAGAAACATCTCTCAGTCCACGGTTCTCTTGCCGCTGAGCCATTTTTTTACGATGCACCCGGTACCCGATCAGAAATGTGGGGCACTTCAAAATATTTGAGTGAATCTTTGAAGAGGATCAAAAGAGGGCAGAATGTAGGCAACACCTTGCAAGATTATGTAAACTGATATCTGAATTCAGAGTGAAGCCTTTTGCTTTTGGTGCAGATCCCGAGTAGCTGGTTGGGGAGCCAGAGGCTATGACGAGCGCATTCGAAACTTGGAAGTGCGAAGCTTGGTGTCCGTAGCTGACTGCTGCGCACGGAACCCTTGGATCCACAAAATTGGTATGGAAAATCACAATTTTTACTGGGAAAACCCACTATAAATGGTGATTTTCCATAGCTATGTTAAATTACCAGAGGGTAATGCTTGGTCTTGAATTTCTTGGAGGATCTTGGGGGGTTGTTATCTTTTTTTCTTGTGGTGCTTGGGGGCAAGGTGACCCAAGATCATGTTACATGTGGCCTGATCAGATGCATGTTTGCTTTCGGCTGCAGCTCCCAGAAAGTTGAAGATCTGTACGAAACGATGTGGTTTTGATTGCGTGACTTTTGATTCAATGAGAAAACTGGAATGGGCCTAAGCAAATGCTTGAACCAATCGAGGTTCCTCACATAAAGTGAACCCAAGAATAGTAAACTTATTGTCGATCGATCTTCGCCAAGAGTTGCTGTTGATCATGGGTCACTGCGTGGATGATCCAGAGGCACGTGGCATTTTGAATTTGTGTCCAGAGGACAAGCTGGTTGGTGGTTTCAATATGTTTCAATATGTTTCAATATGTTTCAATCATCTTCTATTTTCAAAACCTATTTGGGATGATGATCCGAGTAAAATATTATAAATATTCAGGTCGAAACCACCCACCAGACACCATTTTCATAAGAATCAGAAGGACGCTTGGAACAGCTTCACAAAACGATTTGGGTTTGCCCAAGAGGGTATACCCCAAGTCCACTGGTTCATCATGGTTTTTCAGTCCTTTCCATATTTTTCCCATAAACATTGCCACATTTGCCACACATTGGGGTTAGAATGTCATTTCCCGACACCATATGAGCACTTTCTGGCCAACGCCACAGGTCTCCTAGGCTTTTCATCGCAGAGATCCAGGCGGGATAAGCAAGAGCATCGAAACTTTTACCCTTCGGGGGTAGTCCAAACCATACCCGAAAAAGGAATTGGTGATAGTTCATAAGTTCATAAATACCATTTAACAGATTCTGTCATCTGAGTCAGCTGTTTTCAGTTGATGCAATGAGATTTAGCCAAACTGGGTGTGATGGAAACTTGGCTTGCATGGTATGAGCGCTGCTGACCCAGGCTAGCAGGTATGTGCAGGTATTCTGTAGGTTGAAAACCCTCGGACAGAAGCCTCTTTTGCAGGTGCCAATCTTTGAAAGGCTCGGGTCAGGTGCTCATCAGTGCGAACTGACCATGCCTTTTGACCTGTGAAGAATTGGCTTTGTATGGCCGAGACTGTGAAAATTGGATGGCCATGAATCTTTGGCTGCTGTCAAGTATGCGAATATTCTTTGTGTCCAAAGTGTGTCCCAACTTTCAGATGAATCATCCATCCACTTCAGACTCTGGCCGACCCCAAGCAGTGGCTGAGGCTTGAAGTGAGTGATGCCGAGGTGATGGCGGCCAATTGTTCTAAGGTTTTTCTTGCTTCCCATCAGTTTCGAATCGCAAAAGTTTAGATCCAAAGTTGTCCAAAGGGATGTAGCTGGTGTACCAGCAGAGTTCCTTGTTGTATCCTTTTTGAATGGTGTGGAATGGTCTGGACAAACGTCCGTGTGTGACAAGCCTCCGAGCTGCAAAAAATGCCAGGCAGATTCTGCAGGCCAGGCCAGTGCCCTTTGCCAGTTCAATCCAGGTCATCCAGGTTTGGGAAATGCCACATTCAGCAACACAGAAACCATATTTTGAATGGTAAAAACTGTAAAAATATGTTCAACATATGTTGAGCTCGGCAGGTTCCCATCCGTTCCCATCCGTTCCCACTGAAACCCCTCGACGCGTGAAAAACGGGACACCCCTGTCCCATGCAGGTGGCATCTCTTCGTGTTGACCTCAAATGTTTCGGACAACTTTAGATGGGAAAACATGGCGTTGAATGAGAGTCTCCTCCTGCAGCTGAAAATGATGAGGGAAACAGAGGGAAACAAATAATATTATCCATTGGTTTCTCATCATTTTCACCAGCAACGGCAATTTTCGCAGACTCTATGCCCATTTCTGGACAGATCCTCCTTGATTACCTTTGGCAGTTGGATCTGTTGGAGAGAAAACTATTTCTGAATCACCAGTACGAATCAGCAGGACAAAATTACATATTTCGAAAGTTGAAAGAACCGTTGGATCATCGTTCGAAGTCGACCTTAGCCTATATCATCCTATATCTATCGATATATGCACATAGGATTGCAATTCTTGAGAGGTCATGATGCCATAATCATGAAGAAGCGCCAAATTCATGCCAGGTCATGCAACGTGTTGAATGTCGGAGACATCATTCTGGCAGAGGTGAGCATCCTGAGATGTTTGGTGCGGTGAGATTGCAGCCAAAAGTGAGCCAGTAAGGATAGAAGCTTTGCATGGACATGAGTGGCATGACTATATTTGCGGGGTTTTTTGGAAGAAATCCGCTTTTCTTCTAAAATGCAATTTCTGTAGTTTCAAACCTGAAGGATGGCCTTTCAACATGGCAGGCCTACCCAGATGAAGCCGCTGAAGAGTGTGGGGAGGTGTTCATGGGTCCGGGTGTTTTCCCTTGGAAGGAACAACATGTAGCAGACTTTAAGCGAGTCCCTGCACCTTTCCTGCAAGCTTGGTTCTACCTGTACTCTTGCTGTCACCATGAACATGCTGCGGCACACTAGAGGTTTGAAGTGAGAGCAGGCCTCAAGCCGTTGAGTGTCCTTGAAGGGCCCATCTCTGCTCCTCTTCGCGTGAAATTGGAATACACACACACACATATATATATGTTTCGATTATTATAATTATGTATATATATATATTTATAATATGTATATGATCCGGACAATAGTCCAGCAGCCCAGCATTCTCATGCCCCATCCAGTTGCAGCCGCAATGCAGGAATGGCTTCGAATCTTGGAACATCGCTTCCGTTGCTCGGCAGTGTTTGTTGCTGTGGAAACAGCCGTCAGCACATGATGTTAAACATATAAGCACAGACATACATCTAATATAATCTATTCATCTATACAGTCTATACACATGTCTTACATGATTATTATTACTATTATTATTATTATAATATATATATACACATGTATATTTTTGTTTTGAATGTTGTTGTTTCTTTGATATGACAGCTGCACCTGAGGTCTTTGCCCCTCAGTCCTAGAGGACCGACGCTTCCGACAGGTCGCCACTTGAAGTGTTCCGTGGCGAAGTCAGGACTTGGATGAGGAACTCGGAGTTGACGAAGGTGGCTTTCTGCATGCGGGGGCCACCAATGGCCATGGGGATTTAAAGGGAACAAAAAAGGAACATGATAGAAACACATCACTATTACTGTATCATCACTAGATCTTGGATGATCTTGGATACACATGGATACGCAACATGCGCATGTTGACCATCCTAGGATTTGAGAATACACAAGCAGTTTGAATTGAACAACGAAGAAGGGCCGGATTTTTTTGTTTTGAAAAGATGGGAATCAACGAAGCAGACATCCTCTTCCGACGTTTCAAACAAGTCAAACAGAGTGAATTTAGGGCAGCTGTCCTACATATATCCTGTCTTGAAGCAACTTCGCACAGCATCATTGGTACACTTTTACACATCTTTACACAGCAAACGAGGAAGATCATCCAGACCACTACTTGTATGGTTTTGCTTCTTGTTGCCTATGCTGGGGTCTGATTGTCCTGCATGTCAAATGGTGTGAAATGGATTCAACTGATTCAGCTGTGCAAACATCGATTCAACTTGTTGTGCAAGAGTTCTACTGAAACAGCGCTCACCACTTTTGATATCTGCAGCGTAGTACTTGAATATGGTGCCTACGCAGGCTCTACAGATGCCTCTGAGCAACTTACTGAGATCAGAGCGCAAAAATCTGCCATGATGTGGGAGTTGAAGATTCTGGTTCGGTCTTTGCTGCATTTTGAACGATGATAGTGTTCCAATGAGCATTTTGGGTCTTGAAGCATGCCATGGCAAAGGGTTCGTTTGAGTTTGTGCGGGTTGAAATTAATCGCTTCTTTTGTTGAAACTGACATTTTAACCCAGGTCAGATGATGGTCGAATACCCAGCTTTACGGATCCAGTGACTTGAGTCTGAGGATGTTGCTTGATTTGACACTTTTCACACACCATGATCCGAAAATCACATTTTCCCAATGCAAATGGCCAATAATGGCCATAGAAATTGGGGTGACAAATCCCCTGTCCTTTGGTTGCTTCGTCCAAGGAGATCCAAGTGATCAGCACTCCCAATTCAAAGTCTACAGAGGCCAAACGATGCTTTTGAAGTGACGTGTTCTGAAGTTGCCACCTGAGAGTCAGTTGGGCATGTGTAAAATCCCATGATTTTTTAATTCTTTCGAGGGAGTCACCTTTTTGCACCAGTGAAATCCCACTTTTTTCCATCTTTTTTCCATCATTTTGAGCCTTCTCTGAGCGCTTAAAAAATCGCATGTTGAACCCCCGGCTGTTGGAGGTGCCCCAAAGAGCGGTGGCTTGGTACTACGCCGGCATCGAGTGATGGGCACTTTCTTGATGCTCGGCGGAATTTTTGTTCGGGGAAGCGCCGAAGCCGCCGGGTCAGTTGATGGTAAGGACCATGAACCAACAAACAATAGGGATTTAAGGGGATTAAACATGATGTAAGTTGATTTGAAATGATTTAACATGATGTAAGATGATTGAAGCTGATTTAAGATGATTTAAGCATAAACTATTGAAATTTAACCAGCAAAAATAGGGAGGCAGTTGACCAAACATTGGGATTTAACCATTCGAAAAAAGGGATTTCACCAGAACCACTTCCCAACTATGATGAGGATATTGTTAGGATATATATATATAGATAAATATAATCAACAATATGGGCTGTTCGGGTGTGTCTGAAAATGGGGATTTAACCGCAATACAGTGGCGATTAAATAAAAGGGATACTGATGATTAATCAGTGCACTTAGGAGTACCCTGTTTTCAGATAATCCCATGTATGTCTTGTATGTTTGAACATATCAATGGGCGCATCATATATACATGTATATATATAATTATATATATATATCTTTATGTGTTTGAATTCCTCCAGAAGCATCTCATGGTTGATGAAGTAGATGGAGAATCCAGCCGAGCGCTGACCCAAACCCGTTGTGGTTGCTGGTTCTATGGGATCCCATACCAACTGTTTTGATAAGGATCATAGTCCAAAAGGGGAACTCTTCAACCTGGTAACCAGTACGAGGGAAGGGCAACCGTTTTTGAGCACTGTTTACCCATGAATACCTCAATCTTTGGCTGCCTGTCTTGCGATTGTCATTGCTGACCAATTGCATTCCGATTTTGGCTTTCTCCAAGCAACACCCCAAACAAGGCGTCCAATCAACAAGGAGTTGGCTGAGTCCAAAGAGGAGCCCACGCAAGAGCCGAATGCTCCCAAACGAGAACTGCCGGAGGCCGCTGTGAGATGAACCGATGCGGCTCTAAATGTGGCTGTTGGCCAACTCATTTTGACAGCTTAACGGCCAGGATAAAGACGTGTCTGCATATTTACAGGCTGACTGTGGCCAATACAAGAACATTGGCAGCATCAACTCTTGCACCCAGTGTGCGATGTTTGAGGAAGCTCAAATTTGGCCGCGTGACATTTTGGAGCGCTTCCTTGTCACCGGTGAACGTCCTCGTTGGACATCTGATCCAGGCCGCTGAGTTAACTTGACAGCAGCTTGAAAACTGGGGTAACCCCCACATCCATCTGGTTCATGGTCCATCAGGTCAATCATCATGTTCTCCATTGAATTGATGGGCAATTTTGGGGTATCCTATGGTGTCCCATCTGGCAAGAGTGTCAAAAGGATGACATGCGACTAGGAGAGGGGAGCTTGGCACTTGCTGGTCCAATGTCGAGGATTGAGGTGCCTTGTTGAACGAGAGTGGAGGGCTAACATTCAATCAGGGCCGGGCAACCCACATTTTCATCCTGCATTTTTTTGAGTGAACATTTCAAGTGCTGGGTTTAGTTTGATTCAGCAGCACACAGTCCAGACACTGTGCTGGCGCAAAAAGAAAGCCATGTGGTAAACCCAATGTCTCTCAACTGGGTATCGCAACTCCCCATGGTTTGTCTTCATTCTCGATTTTTTCTGTGAAAATTTTGTGGCATTCCTCACTTTCCATCTGGGATTGGGTGAAAATCATTCTACGCCAAAAATTGGACGGCTAGATACACAACATCACATGATTTGGTTGTTGCGGGCCCATTTTGGGTTGCAAAAGCCCAACAAATCTCCCAGAATATCCCACGGCTGATAGTTTATACCATCCATTGCCGGTAAACATTGGGGCTGGAATAAATTCTTGAGTGGATTTTGAAGCCCTTGTCAGCAATGCTGCTCCTAGATTTTAATAGGATTTTCCATGAAATAAACCATCCAGCTATTGGGGTACCTCCATTACCAGCTGGTTGGAGATTTTGGGGTCTCCTAAGGTGGAGGAGGCTCTGCGCACAGCTGCCTTATGGTTGAGCCGTGCAGATGCCCTGCTGGTGCTGGCCGATGGCATGGAGGAGAAAGGTGGGATTCCTCAAGAGCCGTGTTGGGATAGGGGGATGGTTCAAGAGTTGGGTATCAATCTATGGAATGGCATTCCTGCATATTCCTGCATATTCCTGCATGATTGTATTTGATGTATTTTGATGTGCTGTCAGAGTCGTTTTTACCCAAATTGCTGTCATGTATGTGGTGTCAGGTCCGGCTTGGCCTCGCATGAAACAGCAGCTCGGTTGCATTCTTTCAGGTCATGGTCGATGGATTCATACTAGATCGGTTGAAAGTTGAGAGATGGATCGCCCAGAGACTTTGCTGTGGTCGCATCCTCCAACTTACTCGAACCTCGTTGTAATGGGTGCTTGGAGGACCTCCAAGCGGATGGAACACCATTCCCAAATATTTAAAGGAAGGCTATATATTATTTCTGCTGTTCCTGCTTCTCTGCTTTTCCGCTCTTTTGATTTTCCTGCTTCTCTGCTTTTCTGCTTCTCTGCCTTTCTACTTCTAATTGTTCTTTTTCTGCAGTCGTGCGTTTTTGCTGCTCTGCTTCTTCCTGCTCCTCTGCTTCTCTGTCTCTTTGCTTTTATTTTTCTTTTGCTTTATTCTCTCTTGGATTCTTGTTTGTATCCTAAACGAAACCCTGGCCCTAGAGAAACCCTAGAAGAAACCCAAAGACACCCTAAAGACACCTAAAGAACTCTTAATAAGACACCCTGAGTGAAATCCTAGATAAGATGATAAGATTGCAAAGAAACCCTAAATGAATCCCGAAAGAAACCCTAAATGAAACCCTCAAGAAACCTTAAAATAAGCCCTAAAGAAACCCTAAATGAAACCCCAAAGAAACCCTGAATGAAACCCTAAAGAAGCCCTAAATGAAACCCTAAGGAAACTGTAAATGAATCCCTAAAGAAACCGTAAAGATACCCTGAAACCCTAAAGAAATCCCAAAGAAACCGTAAAATGAAGCCCGAAAGCAACCCTGAAGATACCCTAAATGAACCCAGAAACTTTAAATGAAACCGTAAAGAAACCGCTAAATGAAACCCTAAATGAAACCCTCAAGAAACCTTGAAATGAAACCCGAAGGAAATCCTAAATGATACCCTAAACGAAACCTTAAACGAAACATTAAAGATACCCCAAGTGAAACCCTAAAGAAACTTTAGTTAAAGAAACCCACATGAACATTTGAACCACCAACATGTAGCAAATACCATGCAAAATGAGAGGTTGAAGTGCCAAAATGTAGCGAAGACACTGCAAAATGGAAGGCGCACATGCTAACATGTAGCAAATACCATGCAAGATGGAACATCCGACACGTGCAAAGTGCCGAGAGGGTTGCGCGAGCGATATCACATGTCGAACCCCGCCGCACCACGCACAAAGTGACGAGAAGGTTGCGCGAGCGATATCGCAACTGGCACTGCGCCACAACGAGAGCGATCCGACACGCACAAATTGCCGAGGAAAGCTAGACGCCCATCTTATGCGAGCCTGTGCACTCGAAATGCGCATGGACATCTCACGATGGAACTTTAGTGCGAGAATTGGCAGTGAAAACGCCGGGGGCCAGATGGAGCACCCTGATCTACCCCCGGCCTTTAACTCCTACCGTAAGAAATCTTCAGCGTGGACACGCTGTTTAAGGAAAATGCACACACACACACAATCTAGTTCTAGTGGTTCAGACTTGGATCTTGTTGCGTTTAGCCTGTGGGTCTTGGACGGCGGACCTCTGTGCCAAGCAGTGCCTGATGTCTTGTTTGAGGACAGGTAAGACCTTCGAGCAAATGTGTACTTGCGCCAGTTTCATGAAAGAACCTCAGTTGCTTGGCTGTATTGAAGGATGACCCACCTGCAGATACGCAATCTGTTTGTGTTGCCAAGCCTAGAGCTTAGGAACAGTGAAATGAAGCAAGGGTCGTTTCCTTTGACGTAAATGAAAGAGCTGCTTCTTTGGCGTCGCCATGCCACTAGTCTGTATTCACATTGCGGCAAGGTTGGCCTGGGAATGCTGGCTGCGGCACTGTCAAAACTACAGGGAGAGCACACCCCACGCCTGTTATAGCTCGCCTGTGTTCCAGCACACTGCGCTAGGAGCTTTCGTTTCATCCTCAGCTGACACTCAGCAGTGGCTGAAGTCAAGCCGCACTAGGATGATATCACTAGTACCCAGAGGTTGAAACCTGGTGACCTCTGAACGACAGCGCTGCTCTGGCTGCTGTGCTGGACATGTTGAAACTTTACAACCAAACAGCAAGTTGTCTCAGTTGTATCTCCACAGGTTTCCTAGTCAGCGCAGACCTTGACATTGTGCGTTGTTTGATAAATCTAGGTAATATATACGTGCACAATATATATCTATATATTATATTTGATTATATATTTAACATTATATATAACATCATAAATAATACTATATAGATATATCGTAATAAATGATTGTATATCTGTAATATAAGTATAAACGTATATATATAACAAATAATATCTAATATATATATATATATACATATATATATATATTGATATTTATTGTATATTATAAATAAAATTTAAATATTGTATATTATATATTATATATTACATTTAATATATTGTATATAATTTATCATTTTTAATTTATCATATATTGTATATTATATTTTATTTTTCATATATCATATATTTCTATTGTTTTTTGTTTTTAAACACATTATATTATATATATACATATATTTAATATATTATATATTTGAAAATTAGAAGTTATATAAGATATTATTAATTATTACATTTCATATATTGTATTGTATATTGAACATTTAAAATTTATAAACAATATTATATACTATATATATTAAATACTAAATATATATTATATATTAAATATTAATTCTTATATATAATATTATATATATATATTCTATATTCTATACTATATTTTTCTACATTATATATTATTTATTATATATATACATATATTTATTATATGCACACGCACACATGATTTAATATGCACATTTCTCACGAAAACAAATCTATCAACATTTTGTTGCTTAAATCCTCCGCGGACCTACCAGGTTCTCAGCAGCTCCTGGGACGGCCACTGGGCCATGGCCGGCTGGGCCTCGCATCTCCTGGAACTCAATGGCTCGGCTCTGGAGCTGCGATGCGAATGCGGTGCCAGCTGGGCGTCCGAGGAACAACTGGGGCTGGGGATTTGACCCATTTTGGGGTGAAAAACATGCGGAAAACATTGGAACTGCGGTGTGAAAAAAAAACCTTTTGGGGAAACATTTTCTATTTTGGAAATACAGAAAGGCCGGAACTTTGGCCCCAGGAGCTGTGGGAGTCTTGCAACTACCTTCCGACCTGTCCAAGGTGCAGACCTTGAATCCTCAAAGTTCACCGAGGGTTTGCCTTGAACTATTGGCCCCTGTTTAAGATTGCCATATATTGGGGGCGAATTCCCATTTTTGAGGTAACCGTATGGACTTCAGACACGGCTGCTTATCTCCATCGTCACCATGGTGTTCTATCCCACTGTATCCGCATCATATCACCATTAGGTTGGTGAACATCCGCACTTTGTTGCCAAAATGATCAGATTTGGGGAGCACAAAGTGAGCTTGTGAGCGACAGGTGCAGCGCTCCCGCATTGCCAGCTGTGAAACTATTTGATGAGGTTCCCATTGGGATTGGGTTGGGGTAGGTCCTCTAACTCAACAACATAAAGGTGGTGCAAAGCAGCGGACTGCAGAGGGTTCTCTCATTGGCTATATGGTCGGGACAGAAATGGGTTTGTTTAAAAATGGGGTATCCCAATTTACCCCCAATCCACTGGTTACTGTAATCATCATATTCCCTAGGACATCTATGACTTGGTCATTTTGGGGTATGCCCCATGTCAGACACATCAGTTTCTGCCACCACCGCTGCAGGAAGGACCCCTTGACACTGACCTCTACAAAGAGCAGGACCTGCGCTTTCAGTCCTTCTTGAAGAGTTGTTCTCAAATTGGTGCCTGGGCTGGATCAGCATCACCAAAGATGGCAGGTGTCCATTTGCAGTCTGATAAAAGGTGTGTGATCAGCTGTTGCTGTCATTTTTCAAACATACTATAGAACACCAGGTGATGTTCAATTCGTACAAAACGAGACGAGAGACGACTTTGCCAAAAGATCAGGTAACATCTCTTCATTGATGGTGGAACAGTCGAATATAACAAGCACGGGGTTTGATTGAAATAGGGCACCCTGATTCCAATGGAGTATCATCATTAGTTTCCTCGAAAATGACCATATACTGGTGATAAAATTGAATGTGTTTGAGTCATTTTCGGACAAAGCCGTATGCCATAGGCGCACACACACACATCCAAGGTTCTTCGCAGAACTGGTTGCCGGGAAAAACAATTGAAGGAAAACCCAAAGAATTTCATGCCAAAAATCCAAGGTCGCAGTAATTTTTCCCTGAAATCAATCCATTGGTTGCGGTTGCTGAGGTGCTGAGCTGCTCATCATAGAGCTGGCTGCTTCACCATGTTCAGAGCTGCGACGCCGGGCTGAAGACCTCCTAGGCGGACACTGGTTGGCAGTCCACTGGGACATTGGTCAAACTTGGGTATGCCTGGATATCCTATGATATTCCTGTGATGAAAATCCATTTTATGACAGTTTTGCATGGGCTTTCCAACTTTTGAGAAAGGTCCATGTCTATCCCAGATGATGGGGTCAAAGGTACTTGCAGGATGCAACAGGTTCGGTTTCCCTGAAGGCCAGAATGCCAGGCAGATTTCTTGCAGGTTCATCGCTCGGTTCATCCGTAGATCCGTGAAGACTTCGACAGGTCATCCGCCCACGAACTGCCGCACCAGGTGCCAAGGGTTGAAATTGGGACCATATGTAGTGTCATCAGCATATCCGAATGTCCCTATGTCACCTAGCCATGGCTCAAAAGTATTTGCCTTCAAACAAATGGGTATGTCTGAAAATGGGGTATACCCCCAATTATAGCCATTTAGTAGGGATAATGATCATTAACCATTGGGTGTAGGGGTACACTATTTTCAGACAAACCCAAATGGATGGTTTGATCCCCAAGCTGATTGAGGGGGTTCATTGGTGCTCCATGTTTGATCCAAGTCTCGAAACAGTTTCGAGGCTGTTGCGAATCCAGCGGCGCTTTCCAGCGCTGCCCCGCCGCTTCAGTGGGCGTGCAATGGCTGTGCCATTGCCGTGTCCGGAAGCCTTGAAGCGTATGGAGGCACCTGAGTCAAGCTCTAAACGGATCAACAGCGACAGGCTAAGGTTCACTTCAGTAGCTCTGCCTTGGCATCGCAGCTTGGATCTATTTGGGTCTATCAATTGCACCAACAATTCCAGTGACAGGCACTTCTTCCTATCATCGATATGGGCAGCTTTCTTTTTCAGGACGCTCATGCCATTGCAACAACTTGGAATCTGGAAAACCACAGAGTTTGTCTACAATTTGCGTACGATTTATAGAAAAATATAGAAAACAATGATTTTGTCATATTCTGCCTATGTCGTTCATGTCATGGCCTTAATGTTTTGCCAACAGCGCAGTGCTTCCGGAGGACAGTGCTGGTGGCGTGGAGGTGGTGGCTCCAAGAGACGCACCATTGTCGTTTGCCTTCAGGCGATCCGATTTTCACTGAGGATATTGGCTCGAAATAGATTTTAAAATGGATTGGATCCCCAAAATGGATGCTTTAAAGTAGACATGACCAATTTTGGTGTGGCTTTTGGTATGCCGTTGTTGACCCAAAGACGTGACATACTTGGAAAGCCCAGTAGGTTGCGGGCTAAATGCCATGTCTCACCTGCAGGAAAGCCTGTGGTGGGACCTTGCCATCCGAGAATGCTACCGTTTTTAAGGACTCAGCCGGCAGTCAATTCCTTTTTTGCAACATTGCCTGATTTTTGCCAGCGTTGTGGCAAACCTGTGGGTTGGTGAAACATTAGGGGATACGGCCACTTCATAGCAGTTTGAATGGCAACATGATCATCAACCATGAGCCTTTTAAGTAATTGCCCGATGTTCGGACAAACCCATGTCGCTTTTCAATGATGGCAAGACTGTTGCGCCCGCCTAGAGCTGCCAGGCTGGAAGTGTGTTGAGAGAGTTCCGTGTACAAGATCTGTCGCCAAGTGACGTGGTTCCGCCTGAGCTCTTCTTCAAAGATAGCCACTTGGAAAAAAATACCAGGACCTGCCTGACGACATCACTGCCCTGACTCTGAAATACCCATTTTATTTCCAAGTGGGTGAATTTCTTCTTGACGCAGATCAGATGGCACGGTAGCAGCTAGCATTGATAGCATCAGGAGTTTTCCTACAGACCAAACGTCAAAGAACCACAGGGGATGACTTCCCTCCGGTAGTGCGCATCTGGCTGACCGGCACCATCTTCCCAGCACGAAACGAACGACTGGAGAAGCGGCTGAGCCTGGGCCCCAACAAATCAAGTTGCAGGTCATGCTGCTTGGTGATCTTGAGATATTTCAAGTATAAAGGGGACATAAGGGGACATAACCCAATTCTTGAGAAGTACGCATGGAGCGGTTGTAACCCAATTATCGAAGGAAGTTTAGAAGTCAAACTTCCGACAATATGGACAGATGAGCAGAAGAATAGAGAAGAGAAGAGCAGAAGAGAGAAGATCAGAGAAGAGAAAGTCTGAGAAGAAAGAGGATCCAGGTGCGCGAAAAGGTAGGAAAGTCGCGAAACACTGTGTTTTTCTAATGATTTGTGGCTCCGGAGGGTCGACAAGTAGGCTCGCTAAAGCGGCGGGTGCGGAGCCAGCTGGCCAGATGAGAGATGAAAAATTGCACGCCGTTGTGGCGAGAAGCACATTTGCAAGTGAAAAAGCAAAAAGCACCTCACGTTCGGAGCACTGTTGGAAGTTGAGATGTGGAAAAAGTGCACGCCGTTGTGGCGCCAAGCACATTTCGATTGGAAGTTGCGATGTCGAAAAAGTGCACGCCGTGGTGGCACGAAGCACATTTCCAAGTCAAAATATTAAAAACACCAGGGGGGGCCACTTTTGGAGGTTCAGATGTCGCTTCGCGTGGCAGGCGCAGGGGATTGTGGACCTTGTCAAAAGTGAGCAAAATGTGAGGGTTTTGTAGCATTTTCAACTACAACCACCACTACATCACACTACATTCCAATACACTACAACTACAACTACACCTTCACTACATTCCACTACACTACACGACACTACACCACTCCACTACACTCCACTCCACTACACTCCACTACACTACACTACACTACACTGAATCTACAACTGCAACTGCAACTACACTACATTACATTACACTACACTAATGACATTACACTACACTACACTACACTACATTACACTACACTACCTTCCACTACACTACATTACATTACACTACACTACACTACGCTACACTACACTACACTACACTACACTACTTACATTACACCCCACTGCGCTACACTACACTACACCCCACTCCACTACACTACACCTCACTACACTACACTCCACTCCACTACACTACAGTACACTACACTCAATTGCACTACACTACACTACACCACGCGACACTACACCACGCGACGCTACACTACACACTACACACTACACACTACACACTCCACACTCCACACTCCACACTCCACACTCCACACTCCACACTCCACACTCCACACTCCACACTCCACACTCCACACTACACACTACACACTACACACTGCACACTGCACACTACACACTACACACTACACACTACACACTACACACTACACACTACACACTACACACAACACACAACACACAACACACAACACACAACACACAACACACAACACACAACACACAACACACAACACACAACACACAACACACAACACACAACACACAACACACACACTACACACTACACACTACACACTACACACTACACACTACACACTACACACTACACACTACACACTACACACACGCACACACACTACACACTACACACTACACACTGCACACTACACACTACACACTAGACACTAGACACTACACACTACACTACACACTACACCTACACCTACAGCTACAACTACAACTACAGCTACAACTACAACTACAACTACACAACACTACACTACACTACGCTACACTACACTAACTACAACTACAACTACAACTACGACTACAGCTACAAGACATTACATAACACTACACTACAGCTACAACTACAACTACAGCTGCACTATATCACTACACTAATTGCATTACACTACACTACGCTACACTACGCTACACCACACCACACTACACTCAATTACACTACACTACACCACCTTACCCCACATTGCATTACATTACATTACATTACATTACACTACACTCATTACACCACCACAAATGCAACTGCAGCTACACTACACTAATTACACTACACCATAACTACAGCTCCACTACGCTACAGCTACAACTACAGCTGCAGTACACCACACTACATCCAGCAGTTGTGGGTGAGGTGACCGACCAGGTGACCACTGCAACCACTGCAGCCGCTCCAAAAAACACAGCTCCAACCACCTTTCGGTCCATCAGTGGATTCGCTCTGCCATCCGTGATTCACAACAACCAATCTCTCCTATAGGTTTCCTATTTTGGAACCTTCCGCCACCGCCTTGTGCGGTACTACTGGTAATCAACTATACGTGCATGTATATATATATATATATTTAAATATTTTTACACATAGCAAGTGACTTGGCAAGTGATTCCATAGTGTAGTTTTCCCAATAATTCTGGGGATGTATCTAAAGTGAGCGGAGGTGAATAGGTAATGTGCTTTGGAAAAGACAAGGAATTGTGAGCAAAAAACACTTCTTTGAAGGGACCCCTTAAAGTCATCATGTCAATGTCTGGGCTGAGGTAGCATTTGGAACCTGATCAAGGACTTGCCAGTGCACAGACTGAAATTTATCTAGTAGATGTCTGAAGAACTGGCAAATCTATTCCTCTGACCCTTCAGTTGTTTTTTCCTTGGAAGTGGCACCTAGTGCAGGATTTGGTGGAAGCTTTTGATACGGAGGAGTACCAGCGGAACTTCGAGGCTGGGATGAGGTTTCATCATGGCAATCCACACATTCCACTCAGAAAATGTGCATATTTTGCACAGCCGACAGCGCCTGTCTTGCCATGCTCCCATCCTGCGTTTAGTTTTCGGCTCAAGTGGGCCGAGCCGTTGGCACTCCTGAAACTTGGGCACGGGAGGCGCAGGTGTCATGTCTCCCACATGATTGATTTCAAGTATTTCATCCTTGAATAATCTTGAGTAACTGAAAGTGTTGGAGTGTATTTGAACATATTTGAAATACAGTGTCTCTTCAGAACAGTTCGTTTTCGAGCAGGCAGCATGGAGACTTTCTGTCCCTTGCTCAGCAACAAACTGAACCGCAACAAGCAGCACTGGTTTCGGGACCATGTCCCTGGTTACTGGCCCTAGCTTGTTGGATTGGTTTCAGTGAAAATTTACAGGAACCTCCCGATTTTCAGTGGGCAAAACAGTGGTTTCCTGTGGATTTTTCCCACCAATCCAATGACTCCCCGCGATGTGTTTGCGACAAGGTTATCCAGCTGCGACGCCACAGGATTTTTTGCACGTGTGCTCGTCAATGGCAGCATGCAAAAGGACCCAGAGAACCAGCTGGACCGGCGCTTTCCGTAAAGATAGCTTGCTCAGTGGGGGATGTTTAGACCACATTAAGATGGGGGCTCAAATGTTGAGGTGACTGATAATTGCAATTCTAGTTCTAGATGCGTATGAGCGCCGGATGTTACATGATTTTGTCCAAAAATGCCAACACCCCCAAACCGCTATTTAATGAGGAACATGATGACAAATGATACAGTATGATACAGTAAACCACGTTTCATTTGATCCTATTTTTAGGCAAACCCAGATATTGTGGATGGTACCTTCCAATCTTTGATCATCTTTGATCCATTGCCAACTGAAATGGGAACAACTTCGTCAGACAGGACCTACCTGGTAGTCTCACTACACCTCTGGCGTCGCATTGCGCGCCAAAGCAGGTGGAGACGCGCATCCATTGCTGCCGCATCCAAGGATGTTCAAGCCACCATAAGCCACCATTTATTGGGGTTGGGCAGTGTCTGTTATCTCATTATATCCCATTATTATATCATCTCATTATACCCCCAAAATTCGCGGTTTCAAACCACGTATATATATAATATATATATATATCCCCATAACAAAGCCAAAACACCGCCATTTTTGGTGGTTTAATCTGCAGGACTTGTGGGGGCCAAGAAGTCTGTGCCAAAGATGCTGGAGAAGCTGGACCCGATTGGTACTGAGAGGCAGGACGTACGAAGTTCCCAGAGGGGTAGAATGGGGATACAATGCAGATGGAATGGGGATATAATCAACCAACTGATATTTGGATATATTTGGGTGTTTCTGAAAATGGAACAGCAAACCAGGAACCCCAAACAATTTTCTTGAGAACATGGTGGAAAAAGCCATGGTTCTCTGAAGTTTTTTTAAATTTCCAATCAGTCATTTGAGAAGTCCCTGGAAGTCACCACCAGACGGCCAGGAGAGGCTGAGGACGTGAACTCTTTGCAAGTTGAGAGCTTGGAGGAGCAGCAGTTGCAACTGCTTCAAGCACGCGACAAAGCTGCAAGCAGCAGAGAGCTCGGTGATAACGAGACATCATCGTCATGAAACCTCCATGAGCCAAAGCAGCTAAAGTGGCAAGGACCCAATTGCAATCCCTGAAAAACGCTTTGGGACCTTCCCTACCAGTTGGAGCTTCTTTTTTGCTTGGTGGAATGTCGGGGAACCACATGGCGCAGAATTTCCCTAAGGTGTCTTGCAGCAACGGCTTCATCTCCTTGGCTTTATGCTGTGATCTCAGACGTTGAAGACATGTGTTTACTCGAAGTGCAGGAGCCGAAATCTTCGGATCGATCAGCCAAAATGATATGTTCACCAGAACAAAATCAATTCATATCTTAATGACTCAGCGCTGCAGATCGACTTATATAAATTTTGCTAGATGTGCAGATACCTCATGGCCTCATGGTGGGGAACTTGGAACAACTTGCAACTATTGTTGTTTTGCTTCTTGATGAAGTGGCAGTTCTGTTCTTTGATCTGGAGGTCCAAAAAAGAAGACCAACTGCAACTGCAACAGGCCTTGATTCTCAGTGGGAATAACGATGGCCACAACGTGCTTGGGACATGGAAGGGTCAAGACGAAGCAACGAAGCAAAACACGCCCAAACACACCAGGGACTCAACTGGCTATCCAAAAGCATGGACCTCCAAAGTTTCAGAGTGCAGTTCTCTAACACATAAAATAGACATGTTCTAGTACGACATGTTTGTATAGAGACATTATAAAAAAGTAAAATATGATATACATGTTGATAGAACGGACTGGTCATAAACTTGTGGTTCCATGAGTATCTCGTGTTATCGTGTCACCTTTCGACATCTTTCGACCCTTCGGCCTCCTGAGGCCTTGATCCTTTGGTCTCGAGTGTGCGCCTGTGCGCGGAGGCAACGATGGCAGCAAGCCATGGAAGATCGACAGAAGGAAGCAGACAGAGCCTTGAGGAAAGCACAGCAAGAGCAAAAGGACAGAGTTTTCAAAGTTGTTTGACAAAACATGGGGATATGATATATCTGATATATCTGATATATCTGATATGTATATATATACGTATATATATATATATTATATAGATATGATATAACCTCAATATAGAGATTTTTTTTGCGGGATTTGAGTTCGTGCAGCAACAGAATATGGGATACAATCAAGAATCTGGATACTTCATGGGGATAAGTGGCCTGTGGCAATCAAACCTGGCATTCTTACTGGGGACACTCTTCGTACTCTATCAGCCTTCGTTTCGTCTGAATGACAGATATCAGAGCTGATGTTTCACTCCAATTTGTTACAGGAACTGCAACATCAGCAAGAGAGACGGGAGCAGTTGTTTCTTCAGCAATCGCTTGAACTGCAAGACCTGGAGAAACTCATGGAACATCGCAGACAAAAGCAGTTGTTGCAATCCCATGCAGTGCGAGAAGGTGTGTTCCGGTCCCTTGCAATGACCAACGAGAAAATTCAACTGCTGTTTGCGTGGTCCCACTGGTGTTCGATCATGAGGCAGGGGGCAAGGGCCCAAGTTTGGTTCACCAAAATTTGAAAAAAGTAAAGCATAGGCTACATAGCTTATATATGCATATATATATATTTTCTATCCAGATTCACTCCTTTTTGGAAATCTTGGAGGACCAGCTGCAAGCACAAGCTAGAGTCTGAAGCCTATGTAGGGAATATGATATGAACAAGATAGACCTCTTGCTGAGCTTTGAACGCAGGAAGGGGCTGAGCGACATGACGGAGCATCTTGCGATGAAATTTTTGCTTCTGCAGATCCTCAGCACTTGGGCAGCTGTTGCCACCTCTGCTGTGCGACAGCGAAACTTCCAGGAGCACTCGCAGACTTTGTTGGGCCATTTGGAAAAGACGTTCGATTTGGTCATCCAGAGAGCGCTTCAGCGAGAAGATGCCCAGTGTGTCTAGTCTGATCGAAGCACTCCAGAAGCGGACTTTTCGTATCCCATGGTACCCCATAATATCTCTTTCCGGAGCGACTACTCGGAACTGACACTTGCGCAAGTTGATTTTGTGGTGAGTAAGCTGTGGCTAGTTCAGAAAAGGCTTCTTATAATATCAGTCCAAATACTGTAGGGGGATGGTCAATTTCAAACGGCAAGTGAGGAACAAGACAGGAACAAGACCTCATCTGTCCCCTTTTTCGTGTCCTAGCAAATCTAGCAAAGCTTGCTGACATTTTGACTTGATACGGTTCTTCGCATGTGCAAGGTCTGCAAAGTGCTTTTGGTTGCTGGCTTCGATATGTGCAACATTCTCAAGCCCTGCAAGGAGACATCGCAGAGATTGATCCCTGGCTCTGAACGGATCTGAGAAGAGGCATTGCCTTGAACCCCCTGGGAACATTTTGTTTTATCGTTTTCTGCCCGTAGTTGTTGCTGATGTTCAAGGTCGGAGCGCCAGCAACCACTGGCGCATCGCCCATGGAAATGGAAGGCTCAAAATTCTTCACCAAGGGCCCGGGGTGGTTGCAGATCCAATGAATCCAGCAACATTTGTGGGTCTATTGGTACCCAAATTGTGAGCCACAGCAGCCGCAGGAAGGTGCTGGTTTCTGGTCCAGGTTAAGATATGCTCCAGCTGCAGGTTCACATGTTGTTCACCCGTTTGATAAAACACGATAAAATCATCACTTGCAACAGCTGCCATGATTCCAACAAAGAGGATGCCAAGACAGACAAAGCACCTTTCTCATTGACATCTGGCTTGACACGGTCAGAATGTCAACCATACCTGAGAAACTCATGAGTGTACTGAGTGTACTTGTATTTTCAGTTTCCCCGGCAAGCTGCTTTTGGAGAAACGATGAGCCAGGAGGACGACAGCCACGGCCCCATTCTCGGTACTGTTTGGGCACCTTCCATTCATCAGGCTCCAATGTGGGCGACCTGCTGATAGCTGCAGCCAGTGTAGTGGAGGACGCTACAGTTGCTGCATCATGCAGAAGCAACTGATAGCAACTGTAGACTCACAATGATTCACACAAAAGCTCACAAGATCTTGCCATCATTAGATTTTCATTGGATTTGCAGGAGAGATCGCTTTGGTTCTGGGAGCCCGTCCTTTCTGCGATTCTGCTCTTTTGGCAAACAGTAGCGCAGCAGGCAGCGCTGCAACACCAGCTGGAGATGCAGAACCTGCGAAGTCGAGAAGATGAATATCAACAGAGCTTGCAGTCTCCTGACCTGGGCTTCACGTTGTGTTCTGCCTTTGTTTTTTCCAACTCAATTTCCAACTCCTGAGGTTCCATTGGCTGATGTAAAAGACTAGTCAAGTCTTTCCCCAGAAGATCATGGAAGTCTTTGGGATCTTCGAACTATGACTCTATAGCCTCACCAGATTTCCGCCATTTTTCCCTGGATCTGTTTTGTCAACTGAGGCGATTTCGGCATCTTCAAGATCTTGAAGCCAAGCGCATTGTAGCAGGACAACATGCACGTTCAGCCGTGAATCGCCTGATCTGGGACGCACATTTCTATCTCTTGGTGTCTTGGTTGCTGCAACTGGGTAGGAATAATTAACCTGGGTGGCCGAGAGAAGAAAACTCTATCTTGGGTGTGAAGCGTGGAAGAAGATTGCAACTGGGAAAAACGTGGAGCACAAAAAACAAGTATTTCAGACTTGACGTCACAAGCTCATTCTTTCTGGTGAGAAAGAGGTGACACTTGTTGTCATTTTCGCTCCTGGGATTTTTTAAGCGCCGGGTGGTTATTAAGGGCATGGTGGTTGTAGAATTGGGATCATGTAACATCTGGCACAGGCCTGCATGCTTGAAGAGATCATAGGAACACCAGTCTACATAAGTCATCCTGCAGGGTTGTTTCAATTGATTCAAACTGCCGGATGGAGTAGATCACAGGGCAATGTCGTGGAAGTTCTGTCTACCGTTGTTCGAAACGACTGACCCAAGATAGGATTTTGAAGTCCGGTCCGGATCGAGCACACCTAGGAAGCGGTGATATGCGCATGGAAACTGCAGGCCAAGTTGCGCTTGATCTCTGCTTCCAGTGTCACAAACTCATCATAATCGATCCCTTTCGGAATCTGTTCAGACCATGGCTGGAGGTCAACACCTTGACGCCGGTTAGACTCGGTGAAGCGCTTACCAGTCGCATTTTGGCATTGCCAGGCAGAATCACGTCAAGGTGGTTTCCCCCTCGCGACGCCGGCCTCAACAGCTGGATGGAACTTTGGAGAGGATCTTTCAGGCGCGGTTGCCGTTGCTTTTTGGGAGCTGAGGAATCCTGGGAAATCATCAGGTACCCAGGTAGTCTTGGGGATCATTCAAGATTTTAGCAGGGTAGCTTTGACTGCCTTATCAACATCCTTCAAGTATATAGATATGACAACAGATGACAGAATATGATAGAATATGATGGAATTTGATATACAGGAAAGATCCAAGAGATGCATTGGAGATACATGTCATGGAATCCTGTCCCTGCGAATTTGAATGACACATCACGAAAGTACTGAACGTGTGAGCTCTTGTGACTTGAACTTCTTGCCAGGAAGAAAAACCCTTCATGGCTTGTATTGTAGTGACAAAGTGCTGCGACATCTGCGACTATGAAATCCCCACATCCCCAGGTTCAACTCCGAGCCCCACCAGAAGGAGAGCCTTGCAGCCATGGCTTGGTTTTTTCTCCTGGTCCTGGCTGCCAAAAGCTGGGCAGTGCGAATGGTGTGTATCAACAGACCCACTTACTGAGTTACAATTCACGCCATCCACTTTGAGGGATTGATCGTTTTGACCAATCCCGAGGAAAGTTTAGCAGGCTACAGTCATGTGGCTTTTCAAAGCAAGAGGTGAGCATAGCATTTTGGTTGTTGGTGTACCAGAGCTGATGACTATTGTTCTTGCGAGGTAAGACATGGTACAGCTACCAATGCCATGACAGAAAGCATGTCCTTTACATCAATAGCACCCTGTAGCACCCTGAGATGAGGAGTCCCTCCGTTCTTAGTGCCGATGCAACGAAGCAGAGCTGGGCATTTGAGGCAGATTGTGATTCTCATCAGCTTGCAGACACGATAATTGAAGACCTGTGATTTTCAAGGGCAGCAATTTATGGATGACAGAAATCACATGACGGAATCAACATCCTCAAAAGATCTCAAAAGCGAACGATGTCATGGATCAAAACGCCACCGGACCAGCAGATGTTCCACCAGGTTTGCGCAGCGTGCCAGGTGCCACATCCACAGTCGCGATCCCGATTGACACCACCAGGGGTTAGGTGATTCTGAGCTTTCGCAGAGAGCAAAAACGATGTGCACAGTGTGCCAGCCATTGCAAAAGTGAGAGGATATGGAGGTTTCATGAGGTTTCCATAAATGGGGGTACCCCAAAATGGATGGTTTACAATGAAACATCCTATCAAAATGGATGATTTGGAGGTACAAATATTTTAGGAAACCCTCAATAAGTGTGTGCTTTGTAGTGCTTATATTTCTGTTTCAAGACGGCAAGACAGGTGGATACTTGCACAAGTAATGTCAACCCAGGTTAATAATTCCCCAGGTGATTGAGTCCAATCATGATAACCCAGTTTCTATTTGCATTTAATGCTTGCAAGTAAGTACAATTGGAATTAATGATTACCTTTTTTATTGCAATTAATCATTGGAACTATATATATATACATACATAATGATTGCAAATAGCTATTATAATTCCAATCATAACTGGTAGCCATCGGTTCCAGGCCGCTCCAGACCGGACCAGCGCTTTGAAGGTGATTCAAGAGGCGTTCCGGCCTGGTGATGGTGGTCCGATGGATCTGATGGATGGATCTGATGGATCTGAGAATGGGGGAAAACCTCAAAAAATGATGTTCTGAACACTTGGATTTTAGGGTATTTGCACTACTCTACGTTAAAGTGGCGAATGTGTGCCAACAGTGAACCCCCTATTTTTTGATTTTTTTGGGCATTGGTTTCCGATTGGGGGCCATTCATGGTAACGTTCCGTAAATGGGGTATGCTTTGTTGTTGGGTTAAAAAGCACCGGGATTACCAGGTGTTGACCCGCACCCAGATATAGAAGCCTTGTCACTTAAGTCAAGAAGAGAGACGCTGACCTTGCAGAATGGAACATATATGGAAGTATGAGGATGTGGTGGTTTTCCCAAAATAGGGATACCCCTAAATCATCTCAAATGAGACCAATTTATATATATATATAGTATTAAAACATATTAAAACCTATGATGACTTGGGGATACCCATTTTGAACATAACCAATCTTATGAAGGGGGAATTCTCTGGTTCACAGCAACCTCTTCTAGGTGCAGCTCAGGGTGCTCCCCTGCCATGGCTTTGCCATATCTGGAGATGAGAGCCAGGATGGGATGGTGCTGGGGAGGGCAGAGTTAAATCGTGAAACATGTGATGAAGAACGGGGTGATATATATATATATTATAATATTATACATATATGCATATGAATGAATGAATATTATGAATTAATGACTTTGTTTCGTCCGACAAACGCAGATGAGTGTTTGGCAAGTCGTTACAGTCCATAACCACAGTTCCATTCACCACCTCAGCATGTCCGTAGCCTTGACACTGCCAGATTGCCATGCGGATCACACAGATGCAGGGCTTTCTGCAGCTCCCAGCTTAGAATTATTTCAGTCCAGCGTGAAAGAAACATGCTTTATGCCATATTCTTGGAAGCTGAAAGAGAAGGAGCTTGCCGACGACATTTTCCAGAGACTTTCCAAGCCCTGAGAGCCTCCTTCCCAAGCATCTCTTCGCTACAAAGGTTTTGCAATTTGGAACAGCGATCATGTTGAGTGGATCAATGGTGCCACTCCCTTCGGCCCAATACAACGCAAAGTTGTAAACCCAATCAAAAGCAGTCCTCCCATTAAACAAAAGAAGCGGTTGGAGAAAACGAGCATCCTCTTTCATTCACATTTAAGACAAACATGGGTGGTTGCAGTTTCTTTTCGCGAATTGTTGCAGTCCCTTTCCTTTTAAAAAATGGGTAATCCGCCACCAGATCACCATCACCAGACAGGTCAGGTCGCATCGATCCTCGCGTGAGTCCAGCCCTGGAACATTCGGTGCATCTCTCCGGTGCGACCCTAAGCACGGTGAAACCAACAAAAGTGGAGGCTATAACTGGGTAAACCCCCAAAAACATGGGGAAACCATGAAATTCACTAATGGAAACTGGGGTTTTACTTGTTATCTCCCCACTTTTAGGTGGTAAAGAACAACTTTTGGTGACTAAAGGGTGGATAACTACCCAAAATAAAGTGAAGTTTGTAGAGGAAAGTGCACGCTTTTTTTTGTGCTCAATCCAGGGGCGGCTTTTCCAGTCACTATTTCAGTCTAGCCTAGGCTATGCCAGATTGCTCTCCAAAGCAATGGCTCCAAAAGCCAAATCCGTCAGAGTACCCAGTGCTGAAGGATCTGAAGGCTGAGAATCATGAGCCAACTCCCGAAAATTGAGGCTAAGCCAGAAACACAGCTTGCCGGTAGCCATGTTCAAACACATTTTCGGATCCTTGAATCCGACGGCCTGGGATTTGACAGGGTCCCCTAACTTTGAGACATGTGTGACATGCCTATAGCAATCCCCCCAAAAGTCAAACAAGTAAAATCCTACTAGAATAATCTGGAATAATGTCTATCTTTGAGGTTAATGTGTTCAATATCCATCAATATTCCATCAATCTTCCCGATCTCGCCGAGTCTGCCAGCTCTCAGCGCAGTTTGGTGCTGGCGTCAGCGAACTCAGCGACCAGAGATTTGAGCGAAACTGGTGGAGACTCATCTGCTGTGGCATGGAAAAAATACACTGGCAATTTGGTGGAAGAGAAATTTTCATCCAGTTTTTGTTGGCCTTATTCAGCGGCACGGCTTGTTGACAGATTGTCAATTTCCCACTTTTTCAGAGCTGGGTGACCTTGTATATGCATGCGTGGCTTGCAGGCAGCCGACAGCAAGTGCAGACGATTACTGGACTGCTGCTATTTGTTTTGTGTCTAAGTACGAAGACTTTCAAAAAACCTTCAATACAGTACCTTGGTGGAAGTCAAGATCAATCTACGATTTTGGAAGAGTTTCGGACAAAACTGTAGTTCACTGAGTCAAGCTGCTACCTTCCCCAAGCCATGAGTTGGAGGGCGGGCCGGGGTCTGGAAGGAAGCACAGTCACCGGCCACCAAAAGCTCTTTGGATTGCATCGACGTGGAACAAGTTCTCGCCACAGGAGCGGACCATGGTTTTTCAAGATTGGATTTCGTCAGAAGAATGCTCCTGCACAGGATGGGATGAGGACAGTCCCCGTGATTGATGAGGTTTATATAATATTAATTAATACATATTAATACATATTAATACTAGATATGGTTACATGGGTTTAGTGCATCGCACGTTTTGTGGGGGTTCTGAAGCTGACTGCAGGAGATGAAATGGGACGGTTCCAAATTCTACCACAACTTCCAGGTTGCGTGCTGATGAGCATGGCCTTTGAATGCAGTGGCTTTGCGGAATCATCATGGACGCGGGTCCAGTCCTTTTCTTGTACTCTTGGTGTATGAGGCACCCATTGAACCCCCATGTTTCCAACTGCATTTTGCGACAGCCCAGGTTGGCAGCAATGGCTGGGAGAGCTTCCAGCTTTTGGTGGACGGAAGGCGCAGGGGTGTGATTCGTTTCTGGGTTCTAGTGGTTGTTCTGGGCATCCGATCCTGAATCATCCTTGGTTAAGACCCAAGCTGTTCTGTTGCCAAATTGTCGTGGACATGGTCGGCTTGTCTTTGTAATGCAATGCTTTCAGAAGGTGGGAACAATGTGCCTGAAACCCAGAACTTCAGTTTTTCGTGTCGGAACCGAAAGAAACATTTGGGCAGTGCCAATGTCACTTGGCCACAATAGAATCACGTGAGTGGAGAACTCGGAAAATTCTGGACCAAGAAGGCGATAGATTGCTCAACTTTCCGCTGAACTTTCAATCTGGCTGTGCCTTAAAAAATCTCTCAAGGGCATAGACTTTGGGAGCTCATACCAATGTTGGCCCAGCTGGGGCCCAGCTGTGCTGATGTCTGATTCTTCTCCTCACCACTATCAGGTCTACCCAAGCATTCCAGACGGTTGTCCCTTTGTGAAGTATGAGCTTCGAGGGTGGTGCAGACATGTTGTGCTTTGGGGTTCTACGGTTGGCACGCCCGATCATGAACCATACCCCATGGATCCAATTTTATGATTTGTGGGGTTATTAAAAGCAATGCCAACAAAAATCAGTCTCGCAATATCTCGGAATCATATTCAGCCCCCCAGAACTCCACCCACGGACCAGTCTTTCCCATCATGGCATGTGGCCATTTTTGTGCCAGGCCCAACAACAAAGGACATGGAAAGAACTGGACGGTGGGCAGGCGACCTGACAAGGGCAGTTTGTTGAGCTCCCGAGTGCAAAACACTTTCTGAGCTGCGTCATATGAGTGATATGGATGTTGGATGATGTTGGGAAGTCTGTGAAAATAGATGGCGCACCAGCAGATTCTTGAGGCATTCACAAGATCAGATCAAAGTGGGAGATAAAGTACGAGTGACTGTCTCTGTTTGGTCCCTGGTGGGAGATGAGACTGAAGTTGAAGATCAAAATTGACTTGACATATGCCTGGCAAGGTGAGCATCAGTTAACGAAATGCGTTGCTATCGATTCGCATTCTGCTTGCCTTTTTCGTGTTTGTCAAATCCACAATATTCCCCAATACGTGTCCTTGCGATCAATCCATTTTCAATATCATATTGGTAGAGATAGGATCAGAGGTAGAAGCTTCTCGCCCTTCACGAACATGAGGTCAATTCACAAGGCTTACCCAAAGAGGTTGGCTGGCGCGAGGTGGGCACTATCGCTTTGAAAGGTAGCCAGCCCTTGCAGATGTAGATTGGATGAGATTTAGACAGGTTGAAGCTGAAGAGTGGTAAAGTTATGCATGTGGTGACCCTGGTGTGGTTCCCGCAGCCACTTAGATCTAGAAAAGTATTTAGTTGCCAGCCTGGGCAGCCTGAGTGCAATGGCTGCCTTTGCAGGGAACCCAGTGAACCCAGCTGGATCTCTGATAGAACAACCAGGTTGCCATGGCGCAACGACAGAAATCACTCGAGGTTCTCGCCACGGCGCCCAGCGCGGCGCCTGCCGTGGCCCGGCCACAGGCCCTGAAGGCGGGGGCATGGGAGGGGCGGTTTGTAGATGTTTGTAGCATTTCATTCCCCCTGTTTAGCAGTAACATCTTACCCAAATAGTGGTTTTTATTACTTTTCTATGATCATGAATTATGGCACTAAAATGACGTTTTTTGTTCAGCCATGGTAGCCAGCGCTTCATGCGCATCATACCCACTTGACATGGAGCGAGCAACCTGGTAAGTGTGCTAAAACTGGCTTGGTCGAGGTCCTTAAGCTTATTTCGACCGCTTTGCATGGTCCTTGTTCGATTGAAGCAATGCTTCTTGGCCACCTCCCATCTCCCATTTCCATCGGTTACAATTTGGCAGTTTGCAACTGGTGCACGATTTCCTTCCCCAACAGAAGTGCTCCCTTACCCCTTTAACTCTCAGCTTCATTGCAGGTGTCGCAGCCTGATATTGCCATGGGCACGTTCCACACATCCCTGCGTGGCGCTTTGGCAGTGGGCAGTGCGGTGGCAGTGGCCAGCTTGCAAGCGCCCAAGATGTCCAAAGCACGTGGCTTTGAAAGCCATTCAGGACATTTGGTGGAGCTTTATCAGGAGTTGTTGGCGAGTTGGAATTGAATATGAGTTGTAGGGCTTTTGACTTCGAGATACTTCGAGTTTTTGCACAGCAGAGTTTATCACAGACTAATCATTTAGGAACCCCAGCCGCTGAAAGATTTGAGCCAATGATGAACTTGGAATGATGATCCACAATAGACCGACACCTTGCAGGGGGAGTGAGACTCCCAATCAACATAAGCAACAGATTATTTGTGCTTTAATCTTTCTAATTTTGGACTTTTACATCCTCATATTCCCATTCTCATGGGTCGGCTCAAGCATTGGGGTTAGTATCATGATGACATCCATGGTGTTCTCCCCATGAATTTCCTCATCAATGGCCGCATCTTTATGGATAGCTCAACCACCAACCAGTCCCCATCTTGACCCGAGGTCGACCCCGTGCTGTACGCATGGTGCGTCACGCCAGCACGAAGCTGGACGACTCTGGAGCCTGGTCATTCGTACAGCTCACCAACGGTGACTCGGAGGTTGGGGGGACACCCAGTGGCCACATGGCAGATAGGAAAGGAAACCAAAAAGGTTGATGGTTGATGTCAATACCGGATCAAGAAACATTTGGGCTGTTCATTTAACATTTATTTTTTTCCTGGGGGACTGGGGGTACCCCTAAGTTTGTTAGCCAACATGTTCCAGCCCAAACCAATTCCCCCATCGAGCCCGGAAGAAAACGTGCCACCTCATGCTGAAACCTGGGAACACAAGCCCTGCAGGCCACCGTCTACCTGCGAGGGGCCAATGTGACTTCTTTCAAGGTCGGAGGTGTGGAATGGATTGGCCTTCGCGCTGACTGCAAGTTGGATGGCTCCAAGGCCAACATCAGTGGAGGCATCATGGCCAAAAGATGCCAAAAGACTGTCAGTTACTTGAGTAGTTGCGTTGATGTTTGGGATGCTTTCAACATCTCTTAACGTCCCGTTTCTTCCAGACAGTGATTTTCATCCTTGTGAGATTTGCTAAGGCCTTCCGATTTGTTTCCCTCAATTTGGACCTGGTGAAGTGATCCCACAGCATGGTCGGAAGCCCAAACAATTGTGCCGCCGTGGTCCCGAAGTTTGAGGCATTCTGCAAACTTTCAGTAGTCTTTCGGTAATCCAAGCCCACCAGTCCACCAATGGTGTTTTCTTTCACTCTGCGAAAACTGTTCTAAGGTTTTGCTCGAAACATGGACTGGACCTTCGTCGAAACAGAGAGCAGCGACGGTAAGTGCGTCCTGGAGCTTGTAGATTCTGAAGAGACCAAGAAGGCTTCGAGTTTCCGTCCCCACAAATTGTACCCTAGAACGGTTGGAAGCTAGAACCTACAGCCCATCATATAGCCCACCACATAGATCCACATAGCGCATCACAGAGCTACAAGAAACAAACATGGGTGATTTCAGTGATTTCAAACAATATCACCAAACAGGTACCAGCAACATGAATCAAGATCATGGCCTTCTTTCATTTCATTCTAAAGGAGTGGATTTGATTTCATCTAAAACTCTAAAACATTGCAATCCCATGTTAGCGTTTTTACATTATTTTATATGATGCTCTTTTTATACATACTTATGTGTGTGTCTATACGTACGTATGTATGCTGTATATTGGCATTGCATATCAATACATCTATCTCTATATATCTACACATAGACATAGTTGGACTTTTCTCCAATCTGCAGGGGAGCCCCAGTTCCATGGCAGGTGTGGCCTTTTGAATTCCGCTGCACGTACACTGTGGAGTTGAAGGATGGCGAGCTGGTGACCTCGATGAAAGTTGCAACTTGGCAGCTCCATGGCCCACTTTGGGAAACCTCCAAATAGGGGTTTCCTAAAATAGGGGTACCCCAAAATCATCAATTTTAATAGGATTTTCCATTATAAACCATCCATTTTGGGGTACCAACCATTTTAGGAAACCTCCAAATATGTTGAGAAGATGAAGTTTCCTACTTGGAGATGGTGGCAGTTGAGACCCTGGAAAGACCCGAGGATGGTTATTTGATGTTATTTGTAAACGCCATGCACTGCCACGCAAACATGTACGTGCCCCTCTGATTTGGCCCCATTGCGAAGATAAACCTACCTTTGTGCCTGTGAAAGTGTAGCTGCGATTGCAACCAGCTTTTTTGCCCAGCCACGGCTGCCCAATTCCAGAGTTGAGTCTTTCCGCATCTATTTTGGTTCAAAGTTATTGACCCCAACAAATTGGATAAGGAGACTGCAGGAATGACCGGCGATTTGTGGGTCCCCTTGACTCAGGAAAACCTGTCTGATGCCGAGTGCAGTTTTACCACTGGGATCCACAGTCACCTGGCGTTGATCACAGCCTGTGGTGCACGAAGCTCGAAGATTGGGGCATGAATCAAGTCATGAGACGCACAAGATCCATGGATGGCTGGTCATGTTTGATACTGAGATACCACCTGGACCTATCCCCTTTTGGGGCAATGTTAAGAGGAGCAATGATTTTGACACGTAGGATTCCATTTGTGAAACACAGCTTTCTCAAGTTGACACATGGCCAGGCTACTACGATGTGTCTGACATCGACAACCTTGATATTGTGGGAAAGCTGAAAGGTTGCACCTATGAGGATTCTCAGACTGAGATGGTTTGCAACTGACTTCCCACATTGATGATCTTGGGAAGTTTGTTATGGCAAGCCATGCTGAGGATCGAACGAAAGATCCTCCCAGCCCGGTCGAGTATGACAAGGATGAGATCAAAATCGCTGAGTTCAGAGATGAGATCTACAAAAAGGCCATGTGCTAAACTAACCCAACCCCCCTACCTACAAAATGGATTCCATCCATAGATGCCATAGGTATGGCCCAGCCTGGTGCTTTGATCATTTTGATCTCAGGTATGGCCCAGCACGGTTACGTTGAAGGACTCGAAGAAAGGGGAGCTGGACATCATCAGTGATGGTGGCTGGCGAGATTTGGTGGTACCTGAGCTGACAATGGCACAATGGCTTTACTGTGACATTTGACATGGCCCTAGCGCAGACTGTGCTTATCTTCGCTACGATGTGCTGTACACGATACATTCTTTCTTTGGTCTCACCCTTTCTGTAGAGATTTCTCTGGATTCAGGCGGACCTGTTTGAAATGAACAAACCGCGAATCAGAAACTTACCGCGAATCAGAAACAAAGAATCAGAAACTAAAAGCCGCGAATCAGAAACTAAAATCCGCGAATCAGAAACCAAAATCCCGCGAATCAGAAACCAAAAATCCCGCGAATCAGAAACTAAAATGCGCGAATCAGAAACAAAACTCCGCGAATCAGAAACTGAGAATCAGAAACTAAAAACTGCGAATCAGAAACCAAAAACCGCGAATCAGAAACCAAAACCAGAAAATCAGAAACTAAAAAACACACGAGAGCAGGTGCGTTTCGACTGAGGCAACAGACAGACTGTGACGTTGGGACTCTTCAGACACGGTTGAGTAAACCATATTTTGAACAAGCAGCTTCTGAATACTTGCCACTCCATGAAAGCTGCGACACTCTCAACTTCAACTTCTCTTCTTAAGAAATCAAATCCGCCACCCTCCTCTGGCCACTATGTTGAATAGGATATTACCTTCTACTTCACTTCAAAAGAAATTAAATCCGCCACCCCCTCTGGCCACTATGTTGAATAGGATATTAACTTCAACTTATCTTCATAAGAAATCAAATCCGCCACCCCCTCTGGCCACTATGTTGAATACGATATTACCTTCTACTTCACTTCAAAGGAAATCAAATCCGCCACCCCCTCTGGCCACTCTGTTGAATAGGATATTACCTTCTACTTCACTTCAAAGGCAATCAAATCCGCCACCCCCTCTGGCCACTATGTTGAATAGGATATTACCTTCTACTTCACTTCATAAGAAATCAAATCCGCCCCCCCCTCTGGCCACTATGTTGAATACGATATTACCATCTACTTCACTTCAAAGGAAATCAAATTCGCCACCCCCTCTGGCCACTATGTTGAATAGAATACTACTTTCTACTTCACTTCATAAGAAATCAAACCCGCCACCCCCTCTGGCCACTATGCTCCATAGGATATTAACTTCAACATATTTTCTTAAGAAATCAAATCCGCCACCCTCCTCTGGCCACTATGTTGAATAAGATATTACCTTCTACTTCACTTCAAAAGAAATTAAATCCGCCACCCCCTCTGGCCACTATGTTGAATAGGATATTAACTTCAACTTATCTTCATAAGAAATCAAATCCGCCACCCCCTCTGGCCACTATGTTGAATACAGTATTACCTTCTACTTCACTTCAAAGAAAATCAAATCCGCCACCCCCTCTGGCCACTCTGTTGAATAGGATATTACCTTCTACTTCACTTCAAAGGAAATCAAATCCGCCACCCCCTCTGGCCACTATGTTGAATAGGATATTACCTTCTACTTCACTTCATAAGAAATCAAATCCGCCACCCCCTCTGGCCACTATGCTGAAGAGGATATTAACTTCCTTTTATCTTCATAAGAAATCAAATCCGCGGCCACTATGTTGAATAGGATATTACCTTCTACGTCACTTCAAAGGAAATCAAACCCGCCACCCCCTCTGGCCACTATGCTCCATAGGATATTAACTTCAACATATTTTCTTAAGAAATCAAATCCGCCACCCTCCTCTGGCCACTATGTTGAATAGAATACTACTTTCTACTTCACTTCATAAGAAATTAAATCCGCCACCCCCTCTGGCCACTATGCTACATAGGATATTAACTTCAACATATCTTCATAAGAAATCAAATCCGCCATCCCCTCTGGCCACTATGCTACATAGGTTATTAACTTCAACTTATCTTCATATGAAATCAAACCCGCCACCCCCTCTGGCCACTATGTTGAATAGGATATTAACGTCAACTTATCTTCATACGAAAGCAAATCCGCCACCCCCTCTGGCCACTATGTTGAATAGGATATTACCTTCTACTTCACCTCAAAAGAAATCAAATCCGCCACACCCTCTGGCCACTATGTTGAGTAGCATGTTACCTTCTACTTCACTTCAAAGCAAATCAAATCCGCCACCCCCTCTGGCCACTATGTTGAATAGGATAGTAACTTCAACTTATCTTCATAAGAAATCAAATCCGCCACCCCCTCTGGCCACTATGTTGAATACGATATTACCATCTACTTCACTTCAAAGGAAATGAAATCCGCCACCCCCTCTGGCCACTATGTTGAATAGGATTTTACCTTCTACTTCACTCCAAAGGAAATCAAATCCGCCACCCCCTCTGGCCACTATGTTGAATAGGATATTAGCTTCAACTTATCTTCATATGAAATCAAATCCGCCACCCTCTCTGGCCACTATCTTGAATAGGATATTACCCTCTACTTCACTTCATAAGAAATCTAATCCGCCACCCCCTCTGGCCACTATTTTGAATAGGATATTACCTTCTACTTCACTTCAAAAGAAATCAAATCCGCCACCCTCCTCTGGCCACTATGTTCAATAGGATATTACCTTCTACTTCACTTCAAAGGAAATTATCCGCCACCCCCTCTGGCCACTATGTTGAATAGGATATTAACTTCAACTTATCTTCATAAGACATCAAATCCGCCACCCCCTCTGGCCACTATGCTCAATAGGATATTACCCGCTAATTCACTTCATAAGAAATCAAATCCGCCAACCCCGTCTGGCCACTATGCTACATAGGATATTAACTTCAACTTATCTTCTTAAGAAATCAAATCCGCCATCCTAAGAAATCAAATCCGCCACCCCCTCTGGCCACTATGTTGAGTAGGATATTACCCTCTAGTTCACTTCAAAGGAAATGAAATCCGACAAACCCTCTGGCCACTATGTTGAATAGGATTTTAGCTTCTACTTCACTCCAAAGGAAATCTAATCCGCCACCCCCTCTGGCCACTATGTTGAATAGGATATTACCTTCTACTTCACTTCAAAAGAAATCAAATCCGCCACCTTCCTCTGGCCACTATGTTGAATAGGATATTACCTTCTACTTCACTTCAAAGGAAATTATCCGCCACCCCCTCTGGCCACTATGTTGAATAGGATATTAACTTCAACTTATCTTCATAAGACATCAAATCCGCCACCCCCTCTGGCCACTATGCTCAATAGGATATTACCCGCTAATTCACTTCATAAGAAATCAAATCCGCCAACCCCGTCTGGCGACTGTGTTACATAGGATAGCACCTACAACTTATCTTCATACGAAATCACATCCTCCTTTGACATTCATCTTACCTTCGGACTGATTTCACTCCCATGATTTGCCGTGGTCTGATCCCAATTAAAGAGAACCCATGCAATCCACTCCATTGGAAGAAGACAAGTTGCCCATTAGGATTGATGAACAGGTTTTAGTTTCCGATTCTTTTGGTTTCCGATTAACAGGTTTTAGTTTCCGATTCACCTGCTTTAGTTTACGATTCAGCTTTGGTTCCCGATTCCGGGTTTTTGGTTTCCGATTCAAGGGTTTTAGTTTCCGATTCACGGGTTTTAGTTTCCGATTATTTTAGTTTCCGATTAACAGGTTTTAGTTTCCGATTAACGGGTTTTAGTTTCCGATTAACGGGTTTTAGTTTCCGATTAATGGCTTGACCGTTTGAAATAGGATTTCTCACACCCTGACTCTGTTGAGGTCTGGAGCCCGTACGGAGATGACAAGGCAAGGCATGGCAGATGGCTCAACTAGGTGCAGTGTGACATCTGAAATTGAGCAGTCCTGGACACAAATGGGGTTTCCTCTATCCAAGTTCAGTAATTTTTATTGGACAACCCTTGGTTTTTGGGCCCCCATTTTACCCTAAATTCATGTACAACCTTGCACCAACATTGGCTGCAGATGGGCTACAAGAGCTTCGTTTGTGCTGCATTGCTGCATCCAGCTAGCTGCACTTTCGCGGATATGACAGGAACAAACATACTAGGAAGTTTGAGAGAGGTGCTTTTCTCTTGACATTTATGAAAACATGTTGTCCTTTGCCCAGTAGACATGCACAGCATGACTGAGGTTGAAAGTGTCGAATGTGACCCCATCTCTCTTGCAGCTGGAGCGTCCTGGGAGGCAACCGTGAATGTGGTGCCCAGGAACAAGTAGCCGCGTGTGCGGGAGATATCGATTTTTTATATTCAATTTTCAATTCTTCTTTGGGAACATGGCAGCTCCATTGGTGCATAGCCAGCTGAAAAAAGAGCGGGTGGCTGCCCAGCCCAACAAGGAGACATTTTGAAGAGCTCCGCTGTGGACAGAAAAGGCTGCAGCCATGGGAGAAGCAGCACTGCGGTCAGTGGACGGTCAGTGGACGGTCAGTGGTCAATCAAATCGGTGAATCTGTTGCATCCCCAAATCTCTCCACTGCAGGTCCGACGTGCTCGCTGAATCTCGCTGAATGGGCCAGCTCCGAGACATCAAGTAGAGAATGCATTTGCAACAGGGGAGAGTGAATGTTCCCGATGAAGGCTTTTGGCTGGTTTGGCCACGATCCTCTTATGATTTGTGGATATCAATCGCCCTTGCTTCGAAGAACAAGCTGTGCTCGTAAGGAGCTTGTACATAGTACATAGACTGCACGCCACGCAATCGACGCCCGGGCAGAGTGATGCTTTTGAGGAACCAGCACAGAGGACATCCATACAACACGATTTTTCCCTTGCGTTGGGCGTTGGCTTCTATTCCTGCCCAAGATGGGCGGAGTACGCAGTTGAGATGGAAGCTGAAAGTTAAAACCGATTGAATCACCCCGGTTGTAAAGTCTTGCACAGGATTCAAACTCAGCAGCTTCAAGGGAACAGATAGCCGTAGCAAAGGAGCAGAAAGTGATTGCGGAAGTGAACAGTGCAGACCGGACTGGTTGCCCGAGTCCAAAGGTTGAACTGCAGAACGTTGCAGACCACCAGTGCAAGCAGGCCACATGTAGGAGTCACTGACAGGCCCTCAGTCATTTGATGGTGACGATGATGATTGATGATTGATGATTGATGATGATGATGATGATGATGATGAAGAAGACGAAAACATGTTCTTCCACCAAGGCTTGGGTCTATATCTAAGTTTGCAAATGTTGGCAATCTCATTTTCCAAGCCTTTTACCCGTGCAGTAATTTGACTTGCACGGAATTCGGCTGGAAAATTCCTCCCTGGCCATGGCACCCTTATGACCACTGCAGGTTATGTAGGCCACCTGTGTTTCATGTTTCCAGCTGCACACATGGCCCCCGCTTTGGTACAGGGCATTGTCCCAAGTTGGATGCTACGGCAGTTAGAGGTTCCGAAAGCGGGGAATTGGTGTGGCTAGAAGTTTTGATCTTTTAGCTCTGTTTAGCTGGATACATCAAAAGGACCCGACACACTATTAAGTATCTACGATCTGCACTCCGGTTCAGAGGGTTTGAAAGGCACTCTTGTCAAGTGCAAGATGATTGGATTCTCTATTCACACCATTTTAAGGCTCTGAGGCTGCCTCAAAGGTTGTCGGCTGCATGAAGGCAGAACAAGGAAAACTTGCCACGGCGAATTGGAGATCCCCCACCTGGATGGATCCCTGCTGAGACCCGTCAGCCCTGAAGGCTTTAGAATCTGATTGTGACACGCTCGAGCTGCGATGGAAGCAGGTGCATGGGGTGCATTGGCAATTGAGTTGGGCAGGACTCAAAATTTTCACACCCAAAAATGGATGATTAAATACTTGAAATGAACAAAATCCAGCCGCGGCAATTTTTTTTCCCCCCGATGTTTAAACATGTTTGTCTTTTAGTGCAATTCAGGGAATCTACACTACGTGGGGCCCGCTGAGACTTATGTTTGTAGATTGATTTGATTGGGAAGCAATACCTGGCCCATTGTTCCAAAGGGAACTCATTTTGGGAATGCAGTAGCGCGGAATGAAGTCTCAATGAACACATTAATAAGGTTGGATCTGTCAGGACCTCTCAATAGCCATCTCCGAATCAGGTGCAGAAGCATCAAAGAGATGAGGAGCAGCAATTGATTCAGAGGCTCGCAGTGAGACAACCACATTTGAGGATGTGCATGCTGTCTTGGTCTTGGTGCGCAAGTGATAAGTGCTTTCACGATCTAGGTGTTTCAATCCTACAAATTTGTTTGGGAAGGTAAAGCATAGGTTTATCTCCATAGTTTGAATACACAAAGTCTAAGCTTTGTTCACTGGCCACAAGACAGTCGTGTGCCGTTGCGGTGTTGCCTTTACCTGGCAGGCTGCGCGCAGAAACTGAGATCCAGCTGCAAGAGCTAGGCTGATAATTTTTCTGCACCACTAAAGTGCCACTTTGCTGAAGTGTCTGCTTGTCCCAGGAAAAATGCAACTTGTTCCAGGTTTCCAGGTTACACAGCTGACAGCTCCTGATGAGGCCGCTTGAGGGAGGTCATCAAGGACAGCAAGCAGAAGCACAGCTCCTGGTGAACTCAAACTTGACAACTCAGAGGTCCAATTGGTGGTGTTCATTGAACGGCTAAATGTCAACATATGTCAACAATCGACAAACTTAAGGAGTGGAGATTGCGAGGGCAAGATCGCAAGATGATGGAATTTTTGGAATTGCTCAACATTTTGGAATTTGGCAACAGTTTACCACATAATACCCTCTGGTAAACTAACATAGCTATTGAAAATGGCCATTTATAGTGAGTTTTCCGATTAAACATGGTGATTTTCCATAGCTATGTTAAATTACCAGAGGGTACCACATAATAAACCACTTTCGGTGGAGAATTGCTGGGCTTGAGGCCTCCAGCCCCAAGCTTGGAGCCTTTGGAGAAGGAGGTGCGATTCATGGCATAAAACGATGATCACCACAGGAATTCCCCAGGTATTCCGATAATCTCCGTTATGATTGATGAATATTGAGGATACGTCCATGATTCCATGATCCCCAATGGTTTATCCAGTTATCCAGTGATTCCCCATCACATCATGAAGGTCGCTGCTGGATTATATTACATTGTATACTGAGTATACTGTATATCTATATATTTTGCTTGAACAAGATTAAGTTTATATTCAAACCCCCTGATTCCCACGATGACTTTGGGTTTCGAGAATTTGTTCATATAGATAGGAGGTAAACACTAGAGTTTCCTGTGAAGTTTCCCTCCAACCAAACCATTGATTAGTGTATTACACCATTTTGAATCTTGAACACTATTCAATCATATCAAGTTGACATGATGTGAACAAATTGAACTGTATTAAACTATATCAAACTTTTTTCCCCAACAGCAGAATGCTTTGGGGTCTCAGCCCACATAGCCTTCGGGGTGCTCCGGGGCACTGCTCGACCCTGCCGCCTCGTTTCGCCGGTTCCGGGAACCAGGGTTCCGAGAACCGGTTCCGGGAACCAGGGTTCGGGGCAAGGTTCCGGGAACCCAGGGTTCCGGGAACCAGGGTTCGGGGCAAGGTTCCAGGAACCCAAGGTTCCGCAAACCAGACTTTCAAGCAAGGTTCTGGGAACAATGGGTTCTGGCTACCTTTTGGGTTCCGGGACGTCAAGGTTCCGGGAAGGTTCCGGGCACACTTGGCTTTCGACAAGGTTCCGGGAACCTTACCATGGTTTCGAGCAGCCAGAGCCTGGATTGTGCCAAAGTTCTGGAATCACCGGAACACCAATTTTGAGACATCCTGCAAACCCAGAGTTTGGGGAACCAGGATTCTGGCAAGGTTCCAGCAACACTGGGTTCCGACAAGGTTCCGAGAACCACCACAGATGCGGACCCACAGTTTGGATATACTTCCTGGATTATGCCACAGGTTCCGGACAGGGACAAGGTCAGAGTTCTGGCAAGGTTCCGAGGTTCCGGAAACAACCCAGGGGTCGGATATACGCCGTGGGTTGTACCAAGGTTCATGCTACGGACAGGGTCCCAGAAAACCAATTTGCAAGGAAACCAAGGTTCCAGGACCAAAAGGGCCCGGTCAACGAGCAATCGCTGACAGGGGGGGGGACAGCGTGACAATAAATCAGCGCGTCTCGGTTCCGGAAACCCAGGGTTCCAATATACGCTGTGGGTTGCGCCAAGGTTCCGGAAACGAGGGTTCCAGGAAGACAAGGTTCCAGGGACACAAGGTTCCAGGAACACAAGGGATTCCGGAAATCCCCCAGCCAATCTTGGGTGCTTTGTGGCCCCTCACTGAATTCCGAATTCATGTTCGTTTGCTCAGTGGGCGCACAGCGTCGGTCGACTGACCTGTTCTGATGTTGCTGTAAAATCTTCTGTTTGAACTGTTCCGATGTCGCATCTACCAAAGCACATGCCACATCAAGCAATTAAGTTCGATGCCTTGGAACACCTAAATATTGGCAGCAAACCTGTGTGAGGCTTCTCGAAGCCAGGTAGATGATTTTTTGAAGCTAAGTGACCAAACAGCAACACACAATGAAACTTCAGACACAGTTGTGACACAACAACCAAGTATTGACATGAAACTAATTCTGGAATCATGATGGACAATTTGGCCAAAACCAACTGTTTCACCAATCACTTGCGCAAACTGACCGATGTTGTCCAAGCACGACAAGATAATCCCAAACCAACACACACACACATTTTGTAAACACTTAATGACACACCGTGGTCTGCAAATACTGCCATTCGTTTGTAACCAAATGTATGTAAATTCAACTATGCGCGCTTTCTTAAAGAACATGTCTCATCCTGCCTTTGGTCCAAAAGGGGAGGGGGCAAGGCGGGCAAAAAATCGCCGAAGAGACTTAGGCTATGGAATCCTGTTCCTGCCATCATTAATCCGTCTTGGGTTGCAAAGTTGGACCACTGTTTGAAACCAACCGCTGCCGGTTCCGGGAACCAGGGTTCCGGGCAAGGTTCCGGAACTCAGGGTTCCGGGAACCAGGGTTCGGGGCAAGGTTCCAGGTTCCGCAAACCAGACTTTCAAGCAAGGTTCTGGGAACAATGGGTTCTGGCTACCTTTTGGGTTCCGGGACGTCAAGGTTCCGGGATCCCCAGGTTCTCGGCGCCAGGAAGGTTCCGGGCACACTTGGCTTTCGACAAGGTTCCGGGAACCTTACCATGGTTTCGAGCGGTTCTGGAATCACCGGAACACCAATTTTGAAACATCCTGGAAACCCAGAGTTTGGGGAACGAGGGTTCCGGCAAGGTTCCAGCAACACTGGGTTCCGACAAGGTTCCGAGAACCACCGCGGATGCGGACCCACAGTTTGGATATACTTCCTGGATTATGCCACAGGTTCCGGACAGGGACAAGGTCAGAGTTCTGGCAAGGTTCCGAGGTTCCGGAAACAACCCAGGGGTCGGATATACGCCGTGGGTTGTACCAAGGTTCATGCTACGGACAGGGTCCCAGAAAACCAATTTTCAAGGAAACCAAGGTTCCAGGACCATATAGGCCCTGTCAACGAGCAATCGCTGACAGGGGGGGGGACAGCGTGACAATAAATCAGCGCGTCTCGGTTCCGGAAACCCAGGGTTCCAATATACGCTGTGGGTTGCGCCAAGGTTCCGGAAACGAGGGTTCCAGGAAGACAAGGTTCCAGGAACACAAGGGATTCCGGAAATCCCCCAGCCAATCTTGGGTGCTTTGTGGCGGGTTCCGCACATGCCGATTCATGTTCGTTTGCTCAGTGGGCGCACAGCGTCGGTCGACTGACCTGTTCTGATGTTGCTGTAAAATCTTCTGTTTGAACTGTTCCGATGTCGCATCTACCAAAGCACATGCCACATCAAGCAATTAAGTTCGATGCCTTGGAACACCTAAATATTGGCAGCAAACCTGTGTGAGGCTTCTCGAAGCCAGGTAGATGATTTTTTTAAAGCTAAGTGACCAAACAGCAACACACAATGAAACTTCAGACACAGTTGTGACACAACAACCAAGTATTGACATGAAACTAATTCTGGAATCATGATGGACAATTTGGCCAAAACCAACTGTTTCACCAATCACTTGCGCAAACTGACCGACGTTGTCCAAGCACGACAAGATAATCCCAAACCAACACACACACACAATTTTGTAAACACTTAATGACACACCGTGGTCTGCAAATACTGCCATTCGTTTGTAACCAAATGTATGTAAATTCAATTATGCGCGCTTTCTTAAAGAACATGTCTCATCTTGCCTTTGGCCCAAAAGGGGACGGGGCAGGGCGGGCAAAAAATCGCCGAAGAGACTTAGGCTATGGAATCCTGTTCCTGCCATCATTAATCCGTCTTGGGTTGCAAAGTTGGACCACTGTTTGAAACCAACCGCTGTTGGGGATCTACGTCGGCTTATTAAATAGGTTTCAACCCCATCCCCATATCAATTCATGTTGAACCACTTTTGAATCACATGAATTTCCTATCATTCCCCCAGTGACTTTCACCAAGCTGTGTTGGAATCCACAGGCCATCGAACTTCGTCGAGAGATCGATGAGCTGTTGTGGCGCAAGCGATCAGAGCAGGACACGTTTGGGGTGTTTTCTGCTCTCGGAAACAATGGATATATAATATTATAATATTATAATATATTATATAAAAAGATATGATATAGTAATATTATATATATATATATGATATAATTTTAGTATATTTCTACAATATTATATAATAAGATATGATGCGTATATAATGGGTTATTCATGGTTATCCCATGGATATGAACCTAGCATACTTTGGGGATATCATGGGGTGTAGTGGATATAGAGAAGATTTCGGCAACTGTATGGCGGGATTTTCTGGGGAATTACTGTGGATGTTAATCACAATGAAGATATGTCAAAAGAATTATCCATTATGCAGTGGAGATGTATCTCCGCAATGGGACATCAATGGGGACCCCATCATTTGGGGATACAACTGGGATACCATGGGGATACATACAATGGGGATAGTTATGATGGAGATGTATATATATATATATATATATAATGAGTATTGTAAAGTGTACAGATTGCGCTTGCTCACACATTTACATTTGGATGTATCGCCGGGCCCCTGACAGGCTCACGAGTGTTCTTGGTGTCAAAAGACCGTTGTGCAGTTCCGGTCACTAGTGCCCCATTTTGTGTTTACATTGGTAGCGGAGCCTACCCGGGGGGCTGCTAAACCCGGGCCCGTTGTGCCATTGCAGCGCTTGGCATCCTGAAGGGGCTGAAGGTGGAAGATGTCTCTACCTGTACAACATGGAGGTGACTCTGCTGATAGCGTGGGTGAGTCGAGTGGAGATGGACGGGAAGAACCTGATCCGTCTGGGGGGACTCGCCAACAACGGCAAGGTGACCTACCTGTTTGGTCTGACGAGGACTGGAGGCTTTGGAATGAGGGCCGATGGTCGGGTGGGAGATCTTGGGATTACCCACCAACTGTTGGTTCAGCACAGGACACTGGGGGAGAGAACACCTCTGGGGGCAGTCGTGAAGACGCCACTAGGAGAACCAGTAGGACCACCGACCCATGGTACCAGTCTGGAAAAGACCCCTGGAATCAAAGTCAACATGGTAGCAACGTTGATGAAAGGGGTGGTGGAACAAGTGACAAGATAGTGGTACCTGAGTTCACAGGTGAGGAAGACAGAGAAGGTACAAAAGCCAGAAGCTATCTTAGGAAGATAGAAGCATGGAGACGTGTGACAAGGTTGAAGGCCGACAAGCAGGCCTTGGTTTTGTACAATGGCCTGTCAGGGAAGGCTTGGAGGGACGCAGAAGATCTTGATGTAGGACAGCTGGATCACCCACAAGGTGTTGAACGCTTCGTGGCATGGGTGACCCAGCGCTACCTGGACAAAGAGGTGGTCAAGGCTGGCAAGTACATGAGCGAGTTCTTCAAGCACTTCAAGCGTTCCCAGAACCAGGACATCCAGGACTTTAACAGCGAGTTTGACAGGCACCTCTCGAAGCTTCGTGAAGTTGGATGCCAACTACCCGGAACTTGCAGCTCTTGGTGGTACGTGGACAAGCTCAGGCTTGACAACACGACAGAGCTTAGCTTGTTGTCGTCCGTGAACAACCAGTACGACTTGCTCAAGCTGCAGGAGGCCGCGGTGGTTCAAGATCGGATGAACAGGCGGCTTTGGGAAACTTCTCACAAGACCGAGGGCAAGGGCAACCTTCCTCGACGTAACCAACAAGCTCTATGCACTGAGTTGGACGAGGCCCAGGAGGACGAGGTTGACATCGACGACTCCGAGCCCTACGACGAGGAGGACTTCAACGCGGAGGAGGACCTGGAGACTCACGAGGCCTACGTCGCCTTCCAGAATGCCAAGGCGAAGTACAACGACGCCTTGAAAGCCAGAGGAACAGTGACAGGTAAGAGCCGTGAAGAAGCACTGCAAAGAGCAAAGCTGAGGTCTTACTGCTCAGCCTGTGGAAAGAAAGGGCACTGGCACAAAGACCCAGAGTGCCCCAAGAACAAGGGCAAGGTGACCAGCCCACCACATACAACGCATGTGGTCTTCTTCTCGGACATCGAGGACCTGGTGACGATCGTGGACTGTGCCTGCAGCCGGACTTTGGCGGGGACTGCTTGGGCGCGCCGCTATGTCGAGAAGTTGAAGGAGGAGAAGATCCCCTACATCGTGATCGAGCAGGAGGAGAACTTTAAGTTCGGCGGCCCCAAGATTTACCCTTCACGCCGTGCAGTGGTTGGTTGGCCATTAAGGGCAAGTGGTTCATGATCAAGATCTCCGTGGTGGCGGCCAACGTCCCGCTCTTGCTGAGCCGGCCAGCGCTTGCAGCACTGGGGATGAACTACAAGATGGAGAACAATGTGGCCGACTTCACGAAGTTGGACTTGGAGGAGATTTCTTTGGGCTTCACAGCCACCGGCCATCCACGTGTCAACGCCGTGGACTTTGGTTCCAGTGCGCCCGACTGGCCAGAAAAGGTCGACTGGAGCGTCACTGAAGTTTATGTGCCTGACTTGGCATCGTCCGCTGTGGGAGCATATATGGTGAGTGCAGCTTCTGGGGGCGGGACTTCTTTGTTTTATCCAAAAGTTCATGGCCACATTCTTGAACTCCTTTGTAACGATGTGCTGTCCCCTGAAGTCTTCTTGAACTGGTGGAGAGAACAATCTTTTGCTAGGGACTTTTGGATTGAGACCGACACCGCTCTCTTGAGAATTCACGTCACCCCAAGAAGAACATGTTTTGATCCGGCAAGGTGGAACACAGGGGACATTGCTTTGAAGAACTTGCTGCTGGAAACATTGGATGAAGTTCGAGACACAACATGCATACCGTGCCATGGTACTGGACACACTTTGCAGCTTCAACATCTTTGGCAACATGAGCATGCTCCACGAGCTGAATTTCTATGGGTTGGCCGCAGCCGTTTTCGTCGTCGACGCACGACGGAGCAAGCTCACCTCGCATCAATTCGAGATACTTTGGATGTCCCAGCCAGCGACCCGGACGCCATGGAAGATGAGGCGACACGAGCTGGTGGAGGCACTCGAGAAGATGGGCCAGACGGCCAACGAGGGATGGACAGTCCCGGAACTCCGCTCTCTTCTGATCGAGATGATGGACAAGGAGGGCGACGGAAGTCACAAGACGAAGGGTATCACACACATGTGCCTGGAGGATCTGATGGAGAAGTGCCAAGCAGAGGGCTTAGCACTGCCTCCCAAACCAACGAGGGGACTGCTGATGAGGATGCTTCGAGAGAACACACCTCCCGACGGGAACGAGAAGGTGTGCTTCGGTTCCTACAAGGGGTACAAGTACCACGAGGTGAACGAGTCCTACCTGGCGTGGGCAATGCAGGAAGTGGCGGCCAACCCGCAACACTCACCGGATCTGGCGCGGCTGGCTCGATGGGCCCAAGCTCGCAAGCCGACAACCAGTCTCGGTGGAGTCGTCTCGGGCAGTGGGGATCCCGAGCGTTCTCCTACCTTGCCAGTGCCAGCCGAAGCGCTTCCGAAGGCGAAAGCCAAGGTGAAGAGCGAGATCCAGAAGCACCAGAGGACTTCGAGGACCCGACCAATCCCAGACGAGACCAGCAGTTTCTCGATGGTTTCCGAACCGGAGCAGACCTTGGCCGAGGAGATCGCGGACATGGAGAGTCGTCTTCAGATGATGAAGGCTGCGAAAGAGGCCGAGGACAAGAGGACGCCGAGGAAGAGGACCGGCGAGACAGAGTTCAGCACTCCAAAACAAGGGTGAAAAAGAGGGCATATTGGCAGAAGTTGAAGGAGCTCCAGGAGATGAAGCAGAAGATGAAGACTGGAGCGCACACTGGCTATGTCACTGAGAATGTCAACGTCCCCAAGAATGACATCAACACTGAGGAGATCTTCGACCCTGAGGAGCCCTTCGACTCACAGAATGCCGACGCTTCTGAGGATGACGACGTCTCTGACCCCATCGACCTTGATGAATATGAGACGGATTTGGAGACCGGCTACCCCAAGGTCAAGCTCTACTACCCTGATGACTTCGATGAGGTCAAGAACCTTCCCCCAAGGAAGATGAGGAGGAGCCGACGCAAACGAGTCAAAGGACTTGTACACCGAGCTTTGGCATGCTTGGCAACCACTTTGGTAGCCTTCTCAACGCCGGTGGTCGCTGAGTTGGAGGAGGCAATCCTGGAACCTGCCAAAGATCTATGCAAGGCCATCTTGGGGCCGAACACCTTCCAAGGGAAGCCTGAGGACTTTGCTTTGCTTGAGCTCTTTGCGGGCTCAGCGAAATTGACCACAGAGTTTGCCCACCAAGGCCACAATGTCTTGGAGCCCCGTGACATCCTGCTGGGCCACGACCTCTTTGACCAGTACCAGCAGGAGAGCGTCTTCAATGACATCAACTACAGGAAGCCCAAATTGCTTTGGGTAGCACTTCCTTGCACGAAGTGGTCTCAGTGGCAGAGGCTTAACTATGCCCAGCGTCGCCAACAACTCCGCCGAGAACGTCAGAAGCAGCGGAGGCTGATTCATTTTGCTGTTGAGTGTGCCTGGAACCAGATTGCCAATGGGGGGGAAGTGATGTTCGAACACCCCCGTTTTTCTGAGATGTGGGACGATCACTCCATGAGCAGTCTTATGGAGAACAACTTTATGGTCTACTCCGACATTGACATGTGCCGCTATGACCTGAGGGCCGTCACGGATGGCGGTAGGCTCAGGAAACCTACAAGGATCGTAGCTTCTGACTCCAAGCTACTGACGGCACTAGACCGTTCCTGCCATGGAGGACATCATCACACACCTACAGAAGGCCGCAACACCAAGGCAGCCGGAATATATACCTCGGCATTTTGCCGAGCGGTGGTACAAGGCTTTGACCACCAGAGACGGAGCATCTGGGCCTCCAAGACCGATGCTTCCAACAAGACCTGGAATGCCCTTGTTGCCGAGGGAGGGGCCCCGCCGGAAGCTGACGATTACGTGGAGCACAAGATGACCGGCATTGAGCTTCCTGGCCATGTCCCCATACCTCTGGCACGGGCACTTCGCAGGATTCATCAGAACCTTGGACACCCATCCAACCATGACCTTGCACGACATCTGAAACTGTCAGGTGCAAACGAGGCTGCTGTTAAGGCAGCTCAGTCAATTAGATGCAGCTCCTGTGCTAGGCTGTCCAACCCAGCCACGCGGAGACCCGCAAAACTGGTCAGACCTCTCGAGTTCAACCAAGAAGTGGCCGTCGACACTCTCAACTTGTACCTTGATGGACATGAAAAGGTTGAGATCTTATCAGTTTTGGACTTGGCCACAGGTTATCACGTGGTCAAGCGTCTGAACGGCCGTTTGTCAGTGGACCTCTTGAGGACGTTCACCGACTGTTGGCTTGGGTGGGCTGGCCCGCCATTGAGGTTGTCCTGTGACTTGGAGAGGGGCTTCCTCAAGGAGTTCACCGACGGGGTGGAGATGGGCGGCACACATGTGAAATATATCGCTGGCCAAGCACACTGGCAAGCCGGCGCCATCGAGCGTCAGGGAGAATGGTTCCGAGCCATGTGGGACCGCACAGTGAAGCACTCCCTACCTTCCATGGAGGAGGTGGACTACACGCTGGCTATGGTGGCAGCCGCCAAGAACAACCTACGCCGTAAACATGGCTACTCGCCAGCTCAATGGTTGTTTGGGTCACAGCCCAGGACTGGAGATGCCTTCTTGGACGAGGAGGACAGCCTGTACCAGAGAGAAGAACTTCGATCTCCCGATGAGCTCTGGAGGAGGAAGCAGACCATACGACAAGCAGCGAGGCAGTCTTTCATTCAGACCCAGGCCGATGATGCTTTGAAACGTGCCGTCCTGGGCCGACCTCGTACAAACAATGAGATCTTCGAACAGGGCGACTATGTCTACATCTTCCGGGTCGACAAGACGACGGGAGGCAAAGCTCGTCATCGTCAAAATGCAGGTGAATGGATTGGACCTGGTGTGGTAGTCGGTAAAGAGGGTGCCTCTTACTGGGTATCACGTGGGGGCCGCTGCATACTATGTGCAGCTGAACACCTTCGCCCTGCAGAATCTGAGGAACTGGGCACCGCCTTTCAGACTAAGGCGGTCAAGGACGATCTCATGCGACTGGCCCACCGCCTTGAGGACAGTGAGGATGAGGACATCTTCGCAGATGCCACCGCACCTATGCATGCAAAGAGGATCGTCAACTACGACACGGTGCCAGAACGACGTGTCCGGACAAAGGGCACAGTGAGGATGCATAAACGGCCAGTACCTCCTGGCGGTGCACAGCAGGGAGACCGAGAGAGGCCCTTGCCCCCAGTTCCTGATGACGATTTTGAAGCTTTGGTAGACAAGGAGATCGAGGACGCTGGGACGATAGCACCAGCTCGGCAAGCCCTAGTCGCAGAGAGACGAACACCGCGATCGGTCATCAAGCAAGTGGACAAGGAGATCCGGTGGGACGACATCCCAGAGAAGGAACGACATCTCTATGTGGAGGCAGAAGCCAAGCAATGGGAGGAACACATCAAATATGAAGCAGTTCGAGTTCACCCTCCTGAGGATGCAGAACTTCTTCGAGCAAAAGTTCACCCCAGCAGGATTCTCAATGCCCGGTTTGCCTACCGAGACAAACATGCTGCTAAACGACGGGAAGACCCTACAGTTGGCCCTAAGGCCAAAGCAAGGCTTTGTGTAGGAGGGCATCGAGATCCTGACCTACGCCATGGGATGATCAACACCGAAGCTCCAACAGCATCGCGGTGCTCCCTCATCACGCTCTTGTTCCTGGCAGCACAGTTCGGTTGGCAACTGGCAGCGGGAGATGTCGAAGCTGCCTTTCTCAATGGGGTCGAGTTCAAGCGGGGGCTCTACTTCGAAGTTCCTAAGCGTGGCCTTCCCGGAGTTCCTGCGGGCTCACTTGTGGAGATCGTGAAGGGGGTGTTCGGCCTTTCGAACTCACCACGGCTTTGGTGGGATAAACTGGCGAAAGAACTTTGCAACATGAAGATCGTCGTCGATGGTGTGGAACTACGACTATCTCATCACGAATTTGACCCTTGTTTCCTACCACTTCGCGATCCTCACGGCGGTCTACGAGGAGCTCTGATCACCCATGTTGATGATCTACTGGTGGCCGCACCACATGCTGAGATGGAGCAGCTACAACAAGCACTCTCTAGCATTTTCCCTATCTCTGAGTGGGAGGCTGGGACCTTTGACTACACTGGTGCCACCATCAAGCAGACCAAAGAGGTTATCGAGCTCCACCAGACCTCCTATGTGAACTCCAGGCTTGAGACCGTGGAAATTCCAAAAGGAGTAGACCCTGATGATTTGGCTGATCAGGTGACGCTCCAAGACAATATGAGCACAGTGGGTGCCTTGTCATGGTTGTCGTCTCAGACGAGACCCGACCTTCAAGCGGGAGTTTCGTTAGCTCAAAGGCGACAGAAAGCTCCTACATATGAGGATGTCAGAGCCACTAACCGACTGGTCAAGATGGCACAGTCTGCCAAAGAGGAACCTCTACGCTTCGTGAAGATTGCGGAGAACCTCGCAGACTTGGTTCTCATGGTGTATCATGACGCCGCATGGGCCAACGCACCCTTTGACCCAGAAGTGGACGACCTTGCTGACGTAGCTGCCGCTCATGGTCAAGGAGTATATTCACAACTTGGCCACTTGCTGGTGATGACCAGCAAGGCCGCCATTGACGGCAAACAATGCCCCACTGCTGTGGTAGGCTGGAGATCTCATGCCTGTCCCAGGGTATGTCGAAGTACCTTCGCAGCCGAGACGATGGCAGGTCTTGAAGGATGGGAAGAAGCTCTGACCTTCAGGTCTTTCATAGCTGGTGCCCTACATGCAGATCCAGCCCGAGCCCAGGAAGATTGTGCCCGGCGACTGTTTCCCATCGTGTCGCTCACTGACTGCAAATCTCTATATGATAATGTGCACAGGGTGGGAGGACCCAAAGCACCCAGTGAGAAACGTTTGGTGGTCGACCTCACGGCCCTGAGAGCGATGGTGAATGCCGAGGCCAACTACTGGGGACATCTGATTCCTGGGGGCAAAACTTTGAGGTGGCTTCCCACAGGCGATCAATGGGCTGACGTCCTCACCAAGGTGATCCACGACGTTCGCAGTTGGTGGCGGAACTTGCGAGTTACCAATCTGCCTTTTTCCAGTGAGCAAGCGCAACAGAGAATTTGACGAGTGTAAAGTGTACAGATTGCGCTTGCTCACACATTTACATTTGGATGTATCGCCGGGCCCCTGACAGGCTCACGAGTGTTCTTGGTGTCAAAAGACCGTTGTGCAGTTCCGGTCACTAGTGCCCCATTTTGTGTTTACAAGTATAAATACACGACCAACCAAAAAGACGATATCGGGGTTTGTCCACACCCATATGGCTGGCCATAGAATCCCCCAAAAAACGTAGATAATTTACAAGATATACATATTCCAAATGGGGATTTATTATTGCAAGATTTCCAGAGGGTAAGGGTGTGGAGGGATTTTTGAAAGTGCTCTCGAGCTGCAAGAACCAGTGAAACATGCGTTATCCTTGAGGCTTCCTGTCCAAGCTATGGATGAATTTGCACTTGCTTGAACACAAGGTTCAGGCTGAAATATCGGTATACAGTATACCCCGCAAATGGATGCAAATGGCAATTTGAATAGGGAACATGATTATCAACCAATCTTTAAGAACCCCCCCATAGCTCTGAGGTGTCCAACATAACTCCACTCCCAGAGACAACGCTGATATCATCAGCTGACTTCACCTTTTCCAGGCAAAGGCCGAGCAGCAAAGCCAGACACTTCGTGCCGAGATTCGTGCTTTGGAGGTGCCGAGAGATCGTTTTGTTTTCAATTTTGCATTCACAGACGGCCAGAATGACTACCCTCTGGTAATTTAACATAGCTATTGAAAATTGCCATTTATAGTGGATTTACCCATTAAACATGGTGATTTCCCATAGTTATGTTAGTTTACCAGAGGTTAATCACTAATCACAAGTCCCTTCCTCCATTAAACTTAAACACCCCCTATATGATAAAAACACCACATACTTTTGGGAGCAATGGATGGATGATCGGATGGATTTCCCAGGACAGGCTCCAGCAGACCATGTCGCAGAAGTCTGTGATGGAGGAAGTGCTCGAGGTATCGTTGCTTGGGGGAACTCATTGGGGAAAAGATGATGGGGGATATTAAGGGAAATACCCTCTGGTGAACTAACATAGCAATGGAAAATCACCATTCTTAATGGGAAAATCCACTATAAATGGCCATTTTCAATAGCTATGTTAGTTCACCAGAGGGTAATGATAATTACTGATGGCATATTCAAACCATGGGGTTTCTCAGCAGCAAATATTGACACCTTCGAACATTGAAGGCTTTCCATTGCCAGGCTTTAGAGGAGTTTCATGTGGCCCTGGGTGAGTTGTTGTCACCTGCAAGGCCAAGCCCACCTTGGCATTGGAATGGATGGTTTCATCCGCAAGTCATCATCCAACAACAAATGGATGGTTTCATCATTGGAATGGATGGTTTCAAATCATCCCATCATCCAACACCGCGAACAAAAATGAAGAACTCGAAGTTGAGCCAGTGCTTCGCCTGCCTCTCACACTTGTGCTAGGGCCTGAAGAATTCACATAGCGCAACAGCCAATTCCTCCCGAGAGCTTCGAGAACTTCAACGTGACCAGGATGGGATGATCATGGCGGAATTTCACAGATCTTTGGGACATTTTTGGACCATAGGATGGCGATGGGACAAGAAGCTGATTGCAGCTTCTCCTATCCCACTTCAAGGATGTGCAAACAGCTGATTTGTAGTGTTCATCTATCATTGTGACACAGCTGGGCAGAGGAGTTCTTGGAGAAGGAATGTATACGAACAGAGCGAAGGACGCTGCAGCGCCGATGTTTGTGTTGGATGTTGTCTTTTCAGGCCTCAAAATTCATGGTCAAGACTCTACGCCAGCCTAAGAAAGGTTTTTTTTTCTATTTTTTTCTCCAATCAGCGGGACTCGGTACTTTCCTCTTGCTCTCAGCCCAAGATCCTGTGAGCTGTCGCGCAGGATCATTATCTTGGATGAGAAGATTGAGAGCCTCAGCAAGGAGGCCTTTGAGTTTGAAGTTCTTAACTGGCATTTCGCAAGTTGGACCCAAGATGGGGTTTCTCATGAAAACTAAAAGTGCCAAATAGGAGGGAATTCACAATCTGACAACCTCTATATAATGTCATCAGTCGACGCAAACTCAAATACTGATAGGTACGGTTCAAAAAATACCAGACCGCAAAGTAAGTATTTACCACATGGTTTTAGTCCTCAAAAAGATACGTAATTCATGTAATTTACATGAATTACATGAGTTTTACCATCTTTCTGGTAGGATGTGTCTCTCGAAGGCTGAAGATTTGCGGCAGCGAGCTGCAGTTGGGATGGCCCAGGGGCGCCGAGCGCAGAGGACTCGGGAACCGTGCTGGGTTGCTACGGACGGAACCGGATTTAATATGATATCGGCCGAAATGGGTTTAACCCATGGATTTCATGAGAAAATTGATAGGGATAACAAGATGATGGGTTCCAGAGATCAGAGATTTATCATTTCTCGACAAGAAATGGCCTTCGACTGTAATCGGAACACGAGGCTTTGAGCCACAGTGGATGGAATGGTGTAGCTGACTTTTTGGACAAGCCAGAACATGTTTGCTTGGCTCGCGCTTGATACAAAATCATGAAATGGTTTAACACATATTAAACCCTTGGTCAAAAATCATGTGAGTATCCGCGCAGAATGGAATTACTTGGCACTTGGATATAGAGTTGGATGGGAATATGTACAGAGCTTTGCCTAAAGTTTCACATCTTACATCTCCATGAAATGAACATTCCCATTCATCACTGCAGGGGACAGTCACTGGATGAATTCCGATGAACTATTTCCTAACTGGCCACTTGAGTTGGGACCAAACAACTCAAGTCCAAACTCTCCAACCGTCGAGCTTGGGGTTGACCTACAGTAACTACCTGAAGTTAAAGCTGATGTCCCAACACAATTTGAAGATAGCTTTTCTCCTGGGAAGGCTTTGGAAGGTCCATGAGCATCATGGCCTCAAGGTTGTGATGAGCGCTCTGCCAGATGCACCAGCTGATCATGAGGCAGGGATGCAGCTGGGTCTTGGTCATCCAAGATACAATAGGGATTTGAACAGCAAACATGGGAATTTTGTGGGAATTTGATGGATTTTGTTTGGTCCAGCCCAAGATTCTTGTCAAAAGGATATCAGGTTTTTCAGGTTGCCAATTCTGCCGTCAGGTGAGCTATTTGCACATGCAGCGCCAGCGGCAGGTGCTTTCACGGGCTTCAGTTGCAGGGTGTTGGTGGCCACTATATAGTCGGAGAGCTTCACAAACTTCATGTGAGATTCGGCTGCAAGTTGAACATCTATTTTGTGTCAAAATTTGTCTAGTTGCGAGCTTGGAAAAAACTGTACAAGATAGCTGGAACAATGACCCCTCGACCCTGCAATTATGTCGACAGAGTTTTTAGAGCAGCTGGTCTTGAGATCTCCTTTGTGTCCTAACCCTGTGCTGTTTCGGGAATTTCTTCGTGCAAGTTTGGGCACTGAAAATTCAAGGACAGAATCCAGAGGTTTCCCACTGAGAAAGACCATTGTTTTGACCTTGCACGTTTTGTTTGTCCAAAACATTTTAGGGGAGTATCTTTTCTGCAAGGTTCAGGAGCTTCGTCGAGAGCAATCTCAGCTTCAAAGAGAGCAGGCCCAGACGGTGCTTGAGGGATGGACCATGTGGATGGGGTTGCCGGTTGTCACACAATTTGCACCCCAAAAACATCCAAAAACCCAATTTTGATCAGCATTTTCCCCATTAAAAACCCACAATCATTGAAAGTCTGTTGATTGGATCCATGGCTGCGAGGAGGCGGCGGAGCAGGAGTTGGAAGCTGCCAAGGTGGGAATCAATGGAAAACATCCAGGTTTTGCGGGGTCTTGGGATGTTCATTTTGGAGCTGAAGTACCAAAATTGGAGCTGGGATTCTTAGTGCAAACCTAAGATCGGGGAAGTCCACGAACTTGTGAAGTCTAGCCTTGCGAAATTTGGGTTTCTGAAACATAGCACGGCCAAGGTCTGTACTACTTTCAGTGAGTAAACAATAGACTCAGTAGACATTTGCAGCTTAGGGTATCTTAGGGTCATATTTCCTCAATTCACTGGCAATCTGCCGCACGGGGAGGGAGCCAAAGGGAACCCAAAATAAGGTGATCCACCAAGTTGACCGCGGAGGTTCTTTCCTGAATCGACGCATTCTCACCGCCTGAGATGTCACAAATCAATGCACACAGACCGGTGGCTTTTGCCC